TTTCATTTCATTTCAACTTTACTCTTTCAACATTTTACCTTCCTTTCTGATTTTTTTACTTCCTTGATTTGTTCTCAACTTTCGTTTTATTTTTTTTTCCTCTGATTTACTTCTCTTCCTAACCATCAGCATTAAAAAGTTTTATTTTTTATGTGGTGAAAAAAAGTTTTTTTTTTATATATATATCCAAGCTCTTATACCTTTTATCTAACTTCACTGTAACTCATGTCGACTCAAATCTTTTAATTTAATTTGATTTCGTTTCATTTCGCTTGATGAAAAGCAGTCATTTGCCACATTCCTATGTGGATGAGTGTGTATATGCTTACTTATTGTTTGGTTTGTTCAAGAGTTGTTGTGGGGGTTCTTGTGAAGTGTATTTGAGATGGGATGAATAGCAGAGTTGGTAATCAATTCGTTTTAAATCAACTCAATGTCAAATTTAATATATTGACTCTAATTTAGTCGACTTAAAGTCTTATCGATTTCAACTTAGTCGACCCTAACCTAGTCGATTCTAACCTAGTCGACTTCAATTTAGTCGCCTCAATTTAATCCACTCTAATTTAGTCGACTCAAACTAAGTCGACTTCTTTCTAGTCGACTCCAATCGAGAAACCCCAAATTAGATTTTCATGCAACATTAAAGGAGCTAAAGAATTGAGTGAGGCATGTGCGAGCTACATAATAGTCATGAAGTATTCTCACTTTTTCACTTTAATTCCACTTCCATCTCATTTTTTTATTTAATTGTGTTATTCTTCCGACATCTTCAGAGTATTAAATAAAAGTTAAGTTTAAACAATCTTTTTATGTATTATTGCTTATTGTGTTGCTTATTGCATGTACGCTTTCCTTCATTTAATTTTCATTTTATTATTTACATTATTGAGTGTTTGTTGTTGCTGCTAAAGCTTCTTATTCTCCATTTTTTTATATAAAAAATTAATGCTGTGTGAAAATTAATTTCTTCTTTCCGTTTTTCCTTTATTTTATTATAATTCACATTCATTCTTCTTGTTTTATAAATTTCTACAAAGAATGAAATTCTCCCAGTCTTCTGTGCTGTATTTAATTACTTCTGTGCAGAAGCTCTCAAGAGTTGAATTTAAAAAAAAATAAAATGTTTGAGTAAATTACTTCTTTTTTTTCATCCTCGCATTTTTATGTATAATAGAAGTATTCATCATTGTAGCAATGGAAATGTGTCTTACCAATGTACAGTACTCGGTGCATGACAGAATATATTCCTTAAATTTATTTAATCTAAATGAGAAATTTACATTATTGAAGAGAAAGCATGTTGGGACTGTTTAATGAAGTTCAAGGAGAATGTTTGATGTGGAGATTAATTATTTAATTTTAGGAACTGCTGGAAAGATGATAAGTTGGGATGAAATACTTCCTGATGATTTATAAAGTTAAGCAAGGTTAAAATCTAGATTTTTGTATAAGACAAGGACTCTGATTGTCTTGAATTTCATCAGGCTGCCATTGGCATGTGTATCAATTAGATTTGATCATTTTTGATCAGTTTCACATCCTTGATCTGAGCTATTAACACTCCGTACTCTGGTAAAGGCAAAATGAACTGTTTTTGGAAGCACAAAATACACCACATAGGATTTTCAGAAGATTCGCTTAATCTGCCAAGTTTAGTATGCTGTGTCAGCGACCTACAGTCTTTAAATTACGTGTTTCAAAGTTCTACGCCAAAAATCTAATTCAGCATCCTTTTGTGTGTCAATAAATAACAATAGTTTTGTAATAACGGTAATAACAATAAATTAAGCATCTATAAAATTTAAAAAACTATATTAGACCACACTAAAATTAATTATGCACATAAATAATAGATAGAAATGCTGTTCACATTGAAATGAATTATTTATTGCCAAAAATAACTCAATTTGAATAATTGACTATTGATAATGATGGTTGCATGGATGAATGGTGCTATTAATTTTGATTAATTGACATCAAATACTTGAATTTTAATTCATGATTATGGAAATTTGGGGCCGTTCACTTATGACGTCCGAGATTAAGGGGATCGGAGGTGAGTCTAGAATTTGGTAACAGTTTAAACAAAGGAAATTTTGTGACAGAGGAGAGGAAGGGTCTAAAAATCATGTTCGACAGACTTCATAAGTAAATGACCCCTTTAGGATTCTTTGTAATATAAGACTTAGGAAAAGGGCCATAAAGTCACATTTTTCTACCGCATCATGCACAAATGACGCCCCTGGTTTCCTTTATTCAGCTCATTTTTCACACAGTTTCATTGAATATGTCATTTGCAGTTACAAAATTGCATTTCCTTGGAACTCGTTCCACAAAAACTAAACTAGCAAAAACCCACACAATGAAAAAATTCCAATTTAAAAACACTAAAAAAGCTGTAAAACTAAAGTTCTTCATCAAATTGCGTCATCCTCGTAAAATGTTCACATATCATTTGACAAATATTTTATTAAATGACGTAAATGGCACGTGAAAAGTATTGAACAATGAAGAGTGTTATATAAAAAATGTCAGTGCCAAAAATACTCCACATTCGAACTCTTTATCAATCTTACTTTATTTTTCTTTACAAAACACTTGACTGACAATAAAAATTTATAATAAGAAGAATAACTGAAGTGAAGCAAATAATTCAGACTTGTTGTTTCATTTGAGGATCCTTTTTATGTTGAGGAGGGGTCTGTTTATATATGACGTCCCACACTGAATAGTCAATGTGGGGAGTTTTCGAGCATGTGGCCAAATTTGATGCAATCATTGTAAGACAAATCAAAATTGGGTGACAGGAAGGACGTCATTAATGAAAGACCCACCAAAAAACAATTTTCGGAACAACATTATTGACAATTTTGAAGAATTGTTTGCGAACTGTTTCAAAAGTTTTCTTGTTTTTCTTCTTTTTTTGTGTTTTACGAAAGCCTTCAATGTCACTTGCTTGTTATTTTTTCAGTACTTTTGATACCTCAGAAAATTTACAGGCTTTAGATGATTTGTTGTTTTTAAGTCATTCCTTTCTGAGAAATTATTGCTTTGTCGTGGGACAATGAAGCACAATAGTTAACTTTATCATAAGTATTTAGCATCAACTTTAAATTTGACATCTGCAGCCAATGCCATTTTCTCATTCTTACTAATTCCATTCACCTACCCACGTAACCAAAATCCCATAGATGGACGATACATGTATTACGCGAAAATATTCCATGTATAGTCCATGCGTATCATCCATGGATGATACATGGAACGATATTGTCCTATGGAGATGGATGATATAATGGACGATTTTGGGGACGTTCCATGTATAGTACATTGATGTAATACATTTGTGCAATTTTGTGTACTATACATGTTTAGTCCATTGATGTAATACATTTGTACTATCGTGTGTACTATGAATGGATTGAAACGCCTGAAATAAAAAATGTTGGATTTTTATTAATTAATGCACATATTTATGATTAAAGTTTAACTAGTTTATGTTAAACTCTTTATTTATTAAAAATTAATATTATTTTAAACTCACGACAATCAAAAAGGCAAATTTACACCTAGAAAAAACTTATCACTGTAACTCAAAATTACATGTAATTTCCTGAAAAATTGTAAATTTTTACTTAATTATACCTAAAAGTAGACAGAAAAGAAACAAGAAAGGCAATGATTAAAATATTAGATGTTTAAAACATCGTAGACACTTTACACTTTAAAAATTAATATTTTGTTCTTACCTTATTAATCGATGTTTTACTATATTCCCTATAATTACTCACCATACAATATTTCTTTCATTTAATTATTTAAGCATCTAAATTGTACGTTTAAATTAAATTTTCACTTCACAACAATTTTGAAAACACATTTTTCATAATGTAAACAAATAACTTAAAAAAATAAAATGCAGCAAAAAATGTTCTTAATTGTCTGAATGGCCAGATTTTTAAAGTGCTACATAGATGTATTACTCATGGACTATACATGGATATTCCATGTATGTAATACATAAATGATACATTATGTACTGTTTTGGGGAAAGTACATAAATATTCCATCTATGTCAATGGAAAATGTGTGGAACACTTTGGTTACGTGGGTAATTTCCATTTCAAATATCAGAATAATCACCAAAAAAATAAAACATTCAGTCATAGCTGTTGTCACCACTTGATGTCAAAGGACTTTCTGGCATCAAAATATTTGTTCAAAAATACACTCGAAGCTATTTCACCTTGAATCATGATAAACAGCTCTAGCTAGGAGAGAGAAAAAAAGGAGAATGAGACTGATAACAAATGACAACAGTAACACTCGCAAGCACTTCATAAACAGCACATTTTGTTGTTGTTGCTTTCTCTTTTATTGTACTTTTATTTTAGATAAGAAGAGGAATGAAATGTGAGTGAGTGAATGAATGAGAAAGGAGAAAGTAGAGGTGATGTTAGAGAGTGTTGGATAGGTTTTGAGGCGCTTTTACAATTAATATAGCAGTTTTGGTTCTTTTAGGGGTTGTTGAGAGATTAATTTTATAGTCTTTGAGGGTTGTAGTCATAGAAACTATCGGTACATCATTGACACGTGGTCCGTAAGGCAATTAAATTTGCTGTATACTTAAAATCAGGTAGATTCCTCATGACATCCACTTGAAAAATATTTAACATGTAGCTAGATATTGAAAAATTATTAACAAGCAGCTATCGCTTAGTTCTAAGTGAACTATATGCTTGACTGACATGAAGATACAGTTTAAAATGTTTCAATTGGGAAAACTATGCAGCACTTTAGTATATGTCACAAATGATGAGTATATAACTAAGATTGAAGCTCTTCGGCCTTGATTCAAGCCAGAGGTACCAAAATTTATACAGCAAAGGTCAAAACTTCACAAACTTAAGCTCACAAAAAGACTTTTTACCTGACTGCACCCCCACATTCATCAAATCATTCAAAAAACACATAAAAATCCACCTAATTTTGACCTTAAAACATTCAAATCTCTTCAAAAAAATAAGCTACAAAAAGAAGAATGAAAGAAAATCGTAAGAAAATACAGCAAAAATTGAAATAGAAAAACAAGCAATGCGAGACAAATAAATGTCAGATTAAATAAACATTTTCACAACAAAACATTTTAAGAAGAGTGAAAATAAAAACAAGAAGAAGGAAGACAGCAAAATTGCAAGTTTTACTATTAAAATATTCAGCATGATGAATCTTGATGGATACTGTGAATTAATGAAAGTTTTAAAAAATTCATCTGACTATCAGAACTTCTACAAAATCCTCTTCTATCCACTCGAAATTGACAGTTATATGGAGCAGCATAAAATTTATGAAATTCTCGGTGAATTGCTGTTTCGAATTGGAATTGAAAGGCCATCAAAAAATGAAATTATTGATTTTATGATTGCAAATTTATGCAAATTCAATGAACATTTCTATAAGAAGCAAACTGTGAAAATTGAGTTTCATAATTGCACAGCCGATGGCATGAAATATCTCAAGAAATTATCATCAAAGCTTCAGATTCCAATAATTTATGAAGACTCAGCAGAAACCCACGAAAATCATCCGAAAATAATTTGTGACTTCAAAGATAATTCAAGTGACGACAAATTCATGATAATCTCCTCTGAAAATGACACTGACAATAACAACAGCAATCAAGACAAATCCCATGACTGTAATTTAAAGCTTAAGAAGGCAATTGAGTTGAAATTATGCTACAATAATCTCAAATATGTAATTCAAAATGCTCGTCTTAGAAAGCCATTGAAGCATACTCATGGCGAATGGAATCATCGTGTCTTAATGGTGGGTCGAGTGGGCAGCGGTCGAAAGACACAAGCAAGTCAACTGGCAAAAGAATTTGGTCTCATTCTTATCGATTTTGATCAGATGATTAAAGAATATGAGCAACAATCTTGTGACATTGAAAAACATTCGTTAGGCTTTTGGGGATTCATACAAGAAATTCTTCTTAAGCCTCAATGTCTTCATAATGGATATGTGATTGTGTCGAATGTCATTAGCAGGCTGTATTTGATAATGTTCATGGAGAAATTTAAACATGAACCGAATAAGATTATTTTCATTCATACAAATGAGAACAAATGTCGCCGGCGTATTTTGAAACAAAAAGGGATTTATCATGACAATAAAACTGATGTTGATACTTCTTCTACTTCCACCTCACAAACAACATTATCGTCAGCATCGTCGGCATGTGGAGAAAATGTAAATTTATATCTCGATTATCAAATGAATCTGTACAATTTACATAAGAAAGACTTTTTGAGATATTTTGCAAGCACAAAGGATTTACGAGAGAAAATTTATCATGTTAATGGAAATGGATCTGTGAATGATATTAAATCATGGATATGGGCTTATTTTTGTGATGTATAAAATGAAAAAAAGTTTTTTTTTTATGTTCCTGCATGAAATTATTTGAAAAGTTTGCAAATATTGTGTTGTTGGTTTGCTTCTTGTTGACAATTTTGATTGACAAAGTTGAAATAGAATAATTGGAGATTTTTTTTAAAGAAAGTTCAGCTCAAAAGAGGACTCTTTATTTCAAATACATTTTGATTTTCTTTAAAGTTTCCAATTTCCAAATTTCAATCTTAAGGAGGTTCTGGGTTCTCTCCGAACTTGAAGCTGTGAAGATTGGCTTGGTCCATGCTAACGACCTTCTAGAATTTAAATTGTCTAAGGCAGGAATCGTAAGATTGATAACCTTTAGAGATCAATTGTAAATCTTAACTTAAAAGTTACAATTTTTCATATAAAAGCTACAGAAGGAAATAAAAGCACAGAGTTTAAGAGTATGTCTGACATTCGTGAGAAACAAAAACCATAAAAGTCCAAAAAAAAATCAGAAATAATTCCATGCTCTTCAAATTTCACCACAACCCAACATCCAACATTTCTTCTTATCACTTTCAAGTCAAATTTCAATATAACCCGCAACATTCAACATTCTTGACACTTTGCGGATAAAGAACGTCCCAAACGGAGTAAAATTTAATAAATTGTCTGATAAGCAATCCACACAATATGTTCACATCACATGACAAAAACATTACCTTAACCATAATACGATGGAAAATCAAATTAATTAAAATTAATTACAATGTGTCATCTGTTTTAAGCATAATTCCCACTCAAATAATAATAACAATGTACAACATCTGTAACCTCATTTTAACGTCACATTTCCCACAAGAAAGGATTTTATCAATTTTTGCTATCTTTGTGAATTCTGTTTAAATCTATCATACTTGATATTTCGCATTTGACTTCAAGGTGAAGCGGTTTCTTAAGGCATACGTGAATTTATAATTAATGTTGAATTATTTATGCAAAAACCATCATGTCAGATGTTAGATGGGGGTTTTAATTAATTTGTATGGAGCTTTTTGTGAGAGAAGTTGTTAATACGCGATGTCTGTCAAAGATCTATGATATCGATGCTTTAATTTTCATAGTATTACACCCCTTTCACATTAAAATTTGACACTGAAACTGAACATCTCCCGACTGCCATTAGGAATCATCCACATATGACGTTCATTGTCAAGAAATAAATTTCCAATATTAGAAGCTTTAAAACGCATTAAAACTCCAACAAAAAAAAACTCAATACAGTTCATCAAGCCACTCAAGGGGATAAGCAAATAATATTTTTAAAATTCTAGACTTGAGCAGATCTTTAGACCAAGAGCACTCAAAACAACATCAAATATTGAAAATCATTATTCTCAGTTCTCAGAAAAAAAGGAATTAGAAAGAATGAGAATTGAAAAATAAGAAGAAATTCTATAAATGCTACAACTTTGGAGGAGATTCTCCTTGAAATAATCATCAGCAGACAGAAAAGCTCTCATGTTTGCAAACAATTTATTCATCTTAATGAGACCAAATAAGAAGATTTCATAGGACTTAGAAAGGAATATGAATTGTGCTCAAGATCGACCAATCTATCCTCAAACTTATGTTCTACAAGCCTGATTATGGGTTCTCGGATGTCCTCTAGTTTGTAATATCGATAATAGTGCCTGAGCTCAATTCCTAGTGCTATCTAGGACACCATATCATAGAATGCCCTAGAAACCAACCTCTATTTTGTGAAAATCAAAGAATCGTCTATTCCTTGCTTAGAAAATAACACAAAAAAAGTTTAAAAATCGTACAAAAAATCCATAGGAAGCCACTTATGAAACATGTCAAGATAACAAAGAAAAAGTGATTTATTTCTTCCTTTAAAAAATTTCTATTTTCTTCGTCTTGATCCAAAGAAAAATGAAAACTTTTCCTGAAGAATTTTCTCGTTTTTCTTTAGAATTTCATCATTTTTGATATTTTTTATTAATACTTATAGAACATAGTGGAAAATATTTTTAATAAAAAATATTTCATTTGAGAAAATCATAAGAGGGAAAATTAGTTGAGTATCATAGAAAATTATGATGAAATCTTGGAGTGCACTAAGATTGGAAATTGATGAAAATCCTTCAAGAGAAAAAAATTATTTTGAGAGCAATTTAAAGTTTGTTCTCGTTTTTTTTTTTTTTGTTGAAAACAGAATGTAAGTTTTGGAATTTAAGAGCACTCCCGATTTAAGAGGGGGGGGGGGGGGGTTCCCGTATCTTTAAAACTTTAGGCTTATTGATGTGTCGTCTGATTGACATTCATTACAGCGAAATCTTGTTCTAGTCGTGACATGTTCTAATTGTGAATAAAGTTAATGTCTGTAAAACCTTCATGATGAAAATTTAATTCAAGTCTAATTTTGATATACAATTGACGAAAAATTACTGCAAAAATATTCTGCAATTTTTTAAATCAGCTTTTAAATCGCAAAAGTTTTAATTACTAGCTGCAATTATAAAATTGTCCAAATTATTAAAATTTAAAATTTTTAAATTAATTATTTTATTAAGTCTTCAAACGTGATTGAATTTTAATAAAGAGCTGCGATCATTTTTCGGCGATCCATGAACTCAAAAATGAAGAAAAAATTAAGATTAAACGAAAATAATTTTGATAGCCACTCTCTCACTTTTAAGCTCCATCATCTTATCCGTGAATATAATAATTGGACAAGAACATGAATCATGTCGTTGAAAATTGCATCGTTGATGTGAACGAGATGAAAAATTAATTATAATAAAATTATAATCATAATGAGTAAGAGTTGAAAAGAGGATAATAAATAATAAGAACGAAATGCAAAAAATAATGAGAACTGAAATGAAATTATGAATAAAAATGAGAAATTAATTGTGTAATTAAAAAGCTCTTTTGTTCCAGTTAAATCTCATTATAATTTTTTAACAATTTCGCGAATTTATTTGATAGTGAGAATGTCTACAATTGAAGCTTTAAATTGAGAATTACTAGGAAAGCTTTAGGGATTAACTCTCACGTGTGCTTCATTGTGCATTTTCCACATAAATATTGAATTAAAATTCAACTGAATCAATAATTGAATGCTTTTTGTTTCAATTTCCAATGATTTCAGTAAATAAATAAAGCTCAAGCGTCGAAACTGTTTAATCCATTTATTTTGGTGTAGATGCACGATGAGGCTATTTGAATGGATGGAAAAATGCATTTTTGCACGTGTAAGAAGTGCTTTAATTGTGAAATTATGGAAGAAAATTGAATAAAAGTACAAAATGTATCATCAATTCCAATCGTTCCTTAACCTTCGAATTGAAAGCATCCCAACTCCCAAACCCCCATTCAAAAATCGATAAAAGACCTTAATTAAAAGAAAAATCTTATTTAATTTCTTCAAACATAAAAACAGCGATAATATTAGGTGAATTTAATTGAAAATGATTTTTTAAATCTAGCGTAGCTCTTTTCAATGAGCACAAACGAAGCACAAATTTCTTCACCCTTTCAATATAAAAGCATAGACCAAAAGAGTGGAAAATTATTTTTCTCCGCTCTGTAATTTGCATTTTAATTTCAATTTGCGCAACAATTTTATTCTCATTTAAAATTTTTATTTTTTTTTAATTTAAAAATTCCTTTTCTGAATGAGCTAAAAATTAATTTTAATTTTGCACTTTCTTTGTGTGTTTGGTTTTAATTATGGAATGATATGCAAAGGCATTAAATTGAATTCTTTTTTGTCTCGTTTGGAATGGAATTGACGTAGTTAATCCTTTTTTTATAGTTTTATAGATCATCCGCAAATGTTTGGTATTGGTAATTGGCAATCCTGCGATGAAGAAGAAGAAGTGGCAGAGAAGAAGAAGAAGAAGTGCAAATGATTAAGATTCAATTTAGAAATCATAAAGTATTGCTTTATTCAAAATATTAAGAATCCTTATTAATTAACACATGGTTAGCAAAGCTCATCTCAAATTCCACGTCACATCTCATCTTTCCAGACAATCCCTTCAATCCAGTCAAGATAATTATAGACATTAACATAGATGCCTGCAAATAAAACAATTGCCTTCAATTTCAATTTCAAAGGAACATGCTCAAACTTACCAGGAAATCCGACCGTTCCACATTGTCTCAGTCCAAAACTTACGATTCCAATTTGCGTGTAAGTACAGCTAATCTTATCACCGTTAGATACTAAAAGTGGACCACCTGAGTCTCCCTGAAAGACAAAACTTGATTTAAATATCATTAACCATTTTACAATAAACCCAAAACTTACCCTACAAGAGTCCATCTCCTCAGTATGATGACCATAACACACCATCGCTTTACTATCAATAGTTTTATTCCTCCACAACTCTTGACATTCAGAATGACTAAACCTTTCCAAAGTTACTTTCAGCAAATTTTTAGCAACTACTCCATCCTCAGTCACTCCAAAACCAGTCACTATTCCTTTCTCATTTTCATGTTGCTTTGTAGGCAGACAGATCGGCAATATGAATTCATCTATACGAATTTCTTCAGCAAGTTTTAATAAAGCTAGATCTCCGATGACCAACGTACTATTTTGAATGTAGTGATCATATTTGAATGTTTCTACAACATCTACAATAACTGTTTTGTCGTTATCTCCAAAACGATTAATTGAACCAAGCTTGACAGCTTTTGGAGTCAATATTTTATTTTTGGCTGGTATTTCAAGACAATGAGCGGCTATAAGAAGAAAATCATAAGTTTGTAACTTCAATCCTTACAAAATTAAGTGATCAATTTCTTACCCGTCAAAACAAATCTCGGAGAAACTAAAGTACAGCCACAATGCCATTTTAAAGCAGTACGTTTTCCATAGCCAACGAGCCCTTGATGAGGAAATTCATATGGTTTTGCTTCAGTTCCACCTGAAATATTTTTAAAACTTATGTTTAGCTAAGCCGTAGTTGTGATTATGTACAAGTTATACCACCCCACCCCCTTCCATAGCTCCATAGGGTTTAAATTTAAGGCCATAGATACTTCTTAGGCCGCTGATGCTATTTTGCCGCTGCTATGCCTTAACAAGATTGTAAAAACGCTTTGTAAACTTAAGCGTTAATGCTATTTATTAACTGCTGTGTACACATGCTACTTATCACAATTGAGTAAGTGCCTAGAGGCCGTTCATAAATGATGTCCAACATTTAAAGCGAGGAGTCAAGAGTTTTGTGATTTTTCGAACAAAATAAATAATTATACACAAACATTTTGTCAAGAAGGTCTTAAAATCTCATTTTTGATAGATGTCATTTATGAAAAACTCCTACTTGCTCACATAATAAGGCAAAGTTCTCAATTCTTTAGTTATGATTTTATTATCTCTGACTGGGAATTCCCATTAAAAAAATAATCATTTGATTTATGAATTTTAAAATCTCACAAAACGAGCAAAAAGTTTCATCAGTTTAAGAATTTTGCTATGCGCTCTAAACATAGCTCAATGCTTACCAACAATCAAAGCAACCTGCTTGTGCTTGCATCTATCAACTATTATTTTATGTGGCTTTCCCCCGATCAAAGTTGGAGCAATTAGGATCGTATGCGTCGTTTTTTGTGCGTATTCTCGGCATTCTGTTGATGAAAATTATTAAAATTTTGATAGAGTTATCAACACCGGGTTTATATCCTGGAAATCTAAATTTATTGAATTTACTTCGCCTTTGATTAGCCTTAATTCTTACTTCGTTCACTGATTCTCTCTTCTGAATCACTTGAAGATTCTAAATTGGCATTGGCGAGATTTTGACTGATGAGAATTAAGCAGAAAAGTTTTAAAATAGAAGTGCACATCGCGAGTGAATTTAATAAACTGAATTGAGATTATGCTTGCTCTATGTGATGATGATTGTTGTGAGCACAAGTAAAAATATTTTTTTTTTTGAGAATTGATTTAATTTTAAGAAATCATTTTGAAATAAAATGTTTTTTTACAAAATGCTTGAATACAGTTTTTAAGATTTTGATGTTTATAGTAAAGTTTGAATTTTTATTTTTAAATTAATGTTTAATTCCTCCAAAAAATGTCCACAATCCAACTTAAATAGGGATTAGTTTAATATTTTTCGAACAAAAATGTATTTCAAATGCCAAACTTAATTTAATTATATTAAAAGCTGAAGAAATTAAAACGATAATTATTAAAATTCGAGTAATTATTCTGGTTGACTTCAGAAGACTGCAAAGTTGTTGTCATATTTTGATTATATTATCTGTATTTTTGAAAGATGTGTGGAAAATCTTATACTAAGATTTATTTCTCACCAAATAAATTCTCATTGAGTGTCCGATAAGCAGTAATCTTGACAGAGTTTACAAAAAAATTAATATAATTTTATTATCAATCATTGAAACGCTAGAAATAATTTCATTATTTAAATGCCCTTTTGAGGGATCAAAACAAATTAGGTATTATTTTATTGATACTCTAAAACTGTGTCTTCCAAACTTGATGGTGAGTCATGACGAAAACCGTACACGAAATAAGGTTTGTGAGATTTTCCGATTCTTTTGCGACACATAATTTGGAATTTACTGCTCTAAAGTAATAACTCGCTGAGAATTTTTAAAAAGTATGGAATTCAATCTTGTATCACAAATTATTTTTCTCCAGGCCATACAGTCATCTCAATCCAATCAATATAATTAAAGACATTGACGTAAACAGCTGGAATTAAGATTAAATTAAAATATTATTAACAAGATCATATTTAAGCATGCCTAATGTAATTTGAAAGATTTATATTAAAGACATGCCTAAAAGAAAGAATTTAAAATGATTTTCTTAGCAATTTGATAGTGTTACTCGGTCAGTTAAGGTCTTTGTTTTGAAACTCCTCGCAAAACAACGTCTCTGGTCCATAAAGTTTGAATCAAGTGGCTTTTGTTCATTTTAATCATACAATACTTGTTCATGATGTGAACAACCAGCTAATACGTTCAAATTAGAATAAAACTTAAAGCTTACCTGGAAATCCAACAATTCCACATTGTGAAGATCCAAAACTGACAATTCCAATTTGTGTATATGTGCAATAAACGTTATGCTCATTTGAAATTTGCAGTGGCCCACCTGAATCGCCCTGAACAAAACATTAAAATAAATATTGATTTTTCTACTAAAAGATTCGCAGAACTTACATCACATGAGTCACTTGGATTCTGTTTATCTCCAAAGCATAACATTGTGTCTTGAAAAATTGTTTTTGGTTCATAAAGATCTTTGCATTCTTGATGATCAAACTTCTCAACGACTACCTTCAATAATCTTTCCGAATAAACTCCATTACCTAGATTTCCAAAACCAGATACGATCGCCTTTTCTTGATCATTTTCTTTTGTAGGCAAGCAAATTGGGTAAACATGTTCATTGAATTCGATGTTGCTTTGAAGCTGGATGAGCGCAATGTCTTCGTTGTCAATTAAACTTTTATAGTTTGGATGTATGGTTGTATTTTTTACCTTATAAGTTGCAGTATTGTTGCTATCTACTGATCGAAAAATCATCCCAACCTTCACAAAAGTAAGGTTCTTATTGATGCAGTGAGCAGCTAGAAAATATTACAAAAATGATTTTGTTGGCATAAGCTCGGCACTCCTAAATTCTTGTAGCGTGCTCCTGTTAAGGAGCAAAGATCTATGTCAACCCCAGGTTCGGAAACTAGGTGGTATTTGGTCGTATTTCAGATAAAGAGACGGTATTTGGAGGTATTTTTATGGAAGTTGGCTGTATTTGGCGGTATACCATCTAGTTTCTAAGCCTGGATTAAACCTTACATCTTATGTATCGCAACACCCCTGAGCATAGTAAAAACTATAGATAACTTTATAAAATTCATACCTGTCAATACAAAATCTGAAGATATGATTGATCCACCGCATTTCCAACTGATTTCAGTTCCTGCAACATAACCTAAATGAGCTTGATGTGGGAATTCTGACGATTGAGCTGCAGCTCCACCTGTTGATAAGCACAATGTGATTTTCCACAAAAGTTAAGCATTAAATCAACTTACCAACAATCAATGGAATTAATTTATGTTGACAAATGCTCGTTTGTATAAACCTAGGCATCTGGCCTGGTAATCCTGATATAGCAATGTTCTTATATACAATATTCCCGTATTCCTTGCATTCTGAAAATTGTTTACTTCAAATTTTATTGAAGGTTAATAAATTTTATATTTTTTTCTTTACTTCTTTCACTTATTCGTTCTGATTGAACATCCACTACTCTGTTAGTTTCGATGGGAGGAACAATTAAAGGAGTCAATTCAGCTGATCGTGGACAGCAAACCACCAAATATTGTTTTTGACAGAAGGTAACATTCTCATGAGTAATTTCTCTACTTTTTAATTGTTTAATAATCACTTTACATTCATTATAATTCCTACAAACTCCAGACACATTTTCTCTGGTCATACATTCTGAACCTTTTGGCAAATTTAAGTCAGAGGTTACAAATTTTATTGCCAAGATATTAAAAATAAATAAAATTGAATTTACTGTGTACATTTTAGAGATTTAAAAGCAAATAAAATGACTTGATCAGTTTAAAGAGAACGAAAAATATTATCAAACTCAAACAGCTGTTTTGTGAGAGTAATATGAGGGCCGTTCACTTAGGACGTCCGAAATTAGCGGTCATTTATCAAAATAGAACAATGGATTTCCCGGAATTTCTATTGTTTTTTTCTTATTGACCCCCCCCCCCCCCCCCCTCCTTGGACGTCATAAGTGAACGGCCCCAAGCTGATAATAGAGTTTTTAGATTCTTTTTACAAAACGTTCCTCATTTTAGGAAATACCAACGACTTTAGTTTGATTTTTTCAAAAAGATTTTACCAAAACTTGATTGAATCTATTATCTTAAATAAGGGAAGGACTTAAAAAGCTCAAAAATACAGCAGTAAGGGATAAGACAGAACCCTTTGTTAGCATCAAGTATATGGAATTGTTAAGAATGTTCAAAAATTATCAAAAATGAATCAGTTGCTTTATTCAATTTCAACTTCAACATAAATAAATAAATTCAGATCAAGCAGCTAGCGTGCATTATTCCAAACAATATCCTCAATCCAAGAAAGATAGTTATACACATTGACGTAAACACCTTAAAAATAATTTTATTTTACAAAATTTTGTAGATTTTAATTTGCAATTAATCACCTGGAACTCCAATCATTCCACAGTTTGCATATCCAAAACTTACAATTCCAATAAGTTTGTATGTACAATATGATTCCCGATCGTTTAGAATTTGGATTGGACCACCGGAATCGCCCTTAAAAAAAGATAATAAATTCTAGGGTTTGTTCATAAATGATGTCAATTTTAGAAAAGAATCGAGTTAATCGTATCTGACACTTTCATGTGAGAAGAATAATTTGTTATAGGGAGCGGAAGGGATCTTAAAAACCTAAACTTTCGATGGACGTCATTTATAAACGACTTCTTACACCACATGAATCTTTTTGTTCCACGCGACTTCCATAGCACATCATATTTCTAGTAATATTAATAGTTTCAATTATCTCTTGACATTCCTTGTTTGAGAATTTTCTCAGCTCAACTTTCATCAACTTTTGAGATTGTTCATCACTGCCTCCAGTTTTTCCTAATCCTGTGAGAATAACATTTGGTTCATTATGCTGTCTTGTTGGCAAGCAAATTGGATAGATAAATTCACTAAAATTTACATCATTTTCTAACTTTAGAAGTGCAATATCGTTGTTAAATGTTCTTGGACTATATTGCGGGTGTTTAATTACTTTTGTGACATTATAAATGAACACATTGTTATCATTTTGTAAACGATCAATCATTCCAAGCTTGATAAATTTAATCTTTCCATTATGTTTACTGTCATTGCAATGAGCAGCTAAGATGAATATGTAAATTAATAAATCTGAAATATTAAGTAAAATCATCAATAGTGCATACCAGTAAGGACGTAATTTGAAGACACTAGAGATCCACCACATGACCATTCTATTCCCGTTTGTGTTTTATATCCAATATGAGCTTGATGTGGAAATTCATGTTGATGAGCTGACTTGCCTCCTAAAATAAATGTTAAAAGAAGTTGAATTTAGATCTTTAAAATGAAACTTACCTACAACCAACTGAATGTAATTGTGTTGGCATTTATCAGTAATTGTTGCTATTGGTTCTGGATTAGAACTAGTACCCGCTATGTGAGTGATTTTTTTGGTGTATTTTGAGTACTCCCGACATTCTGTAAAAATAAAAATTATTTTTAAATCTATTCCAAACCAACCGATCCGTTTAAAACGTTGCATACTTTCTTTACTAATTTTGCCTTTTATTCCAATTCGAGATTGAAATCGAATAGCGTAATTATTAATAATTCTAGTAGTCGTAGTCGGAACATCCGGAGTGCAGCAAATGACTCCCTGTGAGTCACATTTAAAAATGTCTTCTTGCTTAACGATTCGATTTCTAACCTTTTCTGCCAAATGATGACAATTTTTGTAATACTTACAAACTCCTGTCTCATTAGCTCTTGTAATGCATTTAGTTCCGATTAAAAAGCTATTTTGTTGAGGTTTTGAATAAGTTGTCGATAGAAAAAGTATTAAACTAATTTTTTTTAATGTGTTCATTTTTAGAGATTAAAAATGACTGAAGCAATTGAGAGAATTTTCTTTGGGAGCGTTGATAGGAATTTGAGCTTTTGTTCCAGTTTTTATTGCATACTTTTTTTGATAAAAAAATTACAGAAGTCCTCGTGTTATTGATCGAGGGACTTAAGCGCATTTTTGTGTTAGCGATCAGTATTTGATTATGTAATTATTTTGCGTTCATTTACAGATCATGAGAAGATTAGAAGATCATTAATTTTAGTGTAATTAACAAAAAGTTACAATGAATGCTTATATAGAAAGGATTATTATTTAACGGTCAATAAATAATTTGAAATTTTGCCGTTAAAAGTTGCACTACGAAAATATTAATTATAGTATAATTAAACAATTTGTTGCAATAAATTTCCATACAGAAAGGGTTTATCATTTAACGGTTTTTTTGTAATTCAAATTTTCTAAAGGTCAATAAATAATTTGAAATTTTCCCGCTATAAGTTGCACTACGAAAAAATTAATTATAGTATAATTAAATAATTTGTTGCAATGAATTTCCATACAGAAAGGATTTATCATTTAACGGTTTTTTTTAATTCAAATTTTCTAACGGTCAGTAAATAATTTGAAATTTTCCCGCTATAAGTTGCACTACGAAAAAATTAATTATAGTATAATTAAATAATTTGTTGCAATGAATTTCCATACAGAAAGGATTTATCATTTAACGATTTTTTGTAATTCAAATTTTCTAACGGTCAGTAAATAATTTGAAATTTTCCCGCTATAAGTTGCACTACGAAAAAATTAATTATAGTATAATTAAATAATTTGTTGCAATGAATTTCCATACAGAAAGGATTTATCATTTAACGATTTTTTGTAATTCAAATTTTCTAACGGTCAGTAAATAATTTGAAATTTTGCCGTTAAAAGTTGCACTACGAAAAAATTAATTATAGTATAATTAAACAATTTGTTGCAATGAATTTCCATACAGAAAGGGTTTATCATTTAACGGTTTTTTGTAATTCAAATTTTCTAACGGTCAATAAATAATTTGAAATTTTCCCGCTATAAGTTGCACTACGAAAAAATTAATTATAGTATAATTAAATAATTTGTTGCAATGAATTTCCATACAGAAAGGATTTATCATTTAACGATTTTTTGTAATTCAAATTTTCTAACGGTCAGTAAATAATTTGAAATTTTGCCGTTAAAAGTTGCACTACGAAAAAATTAATTATAGTATAATTAAACAATTTGTTGCAATGAATTTCCATACAGAAAGAGTTTATCATTTAACGGTTTCTTGTAATTCAAATTTTCTAACGGTCAATATAATAATAATTTGAAATTTTCCCGCTATAAGTTGCACTACGAAAAAATTAATTATAGTATAATTAAATAATTTGTTGCAATGAATTTTCATACAGAAAGGGTTTATCATTTAACATTTTTTTGTAATTCAAATTTTCTAACGGTCAATAAATAGTTTGAAATTTTCCCGCTATAAGTTGCACTACGAAATAATAATTATAGTATAATTAAATAATTTGTTCCAATGAATTTCCATACAAAAAAAGTTTATCATTTAACGGTTTTTTGAAATTCAAATTTTACAACGGCTAGAAATTTTTTGAAATTATAGAGGTAATATTGAAATTATAGAGGTAAAATAAAATTTGAGCAGTTTACACTGAAAACAAAACAAAAATTCATTAATTATAGCATAAATACACTGTTTTAAGATTTTTAAATGTCCGGCGGGCCAATAACTCGATATAACGGAACTAATGCAAAAAACTAGAACTCTCTACGATGTCTAGATTAAAAGTTTTTCTTAGCAGCCGACCAGCCAGCCGACCAGCCGACCAGCCGACCAAAGTGCGTTATTAAGCTACCTTTTTGAAACAAGTTTCAAAAATGCGCTAAAAATTATGATTCAAAAATTAAACCGAATTGAAGAAAGTTCGACGATGGAGATGAGGATTTTGAATACTCTTTAGCTGACTTCACCTCAGCTGCTTTCATTCAGAGTTGTTATCAGCATTGCGATCTATCACAGGCAATCACCTGTCAATTGCTTGTGACAGACAACATTTGTGACAAAACTGTCACCTTTTCCTTTGACAGATGACCTGTATCGCAACTCTGGTTGTTATCTTATTCCTTAGCATAATTATGTCGAAGTATGAATCAATCATAAACTTAACTGAATTTTCTAATTCGATTTTTCTTTAATTTTTTTAAATAATTTTCCAAAATTATCTGGATGTAGACATAAAGATAGGGTGACCATCTAATTTTTATGAAAATACAGGACATTTGATAAATTTCCTAAAAAATACAGGACACAAAGGAAAATTTGAAAATTAACGGAAATTTTCGTGAAAAAAATACAGGACCTTGAACAAAATTTTCAAATTTATACAGGACAGGGTTTTGAAATACAGGACTGTCCGTTGTAAAACTACGCAGATGGTCACCCTACATAAAGATAAATAAGACGAAATAAAAATATATCTTCAAATTTTAAACAATATCAGCTTCATCCGAAATCAATGTAAACTAGTGTTGTCCAAACTGTGTACCGTGGCACACTGGTGTGCCGTAGGACATCGCTAGGTGTGCTGTGGAAATATATTTAAATTCAAAATGTGCCGTGGTTGAAAAAAGTTTGAACAACACTATTGTAAGCAATATAGCTCTTAATAGCAACAAAATAACAACTTTATCAATTCACAGATGTTTATTTTTATAAAATTCTTAGAAGGTTCTTTCAAAAATGACTTCCAACAATAAATATGGTTTTGAGTACTTCTACATTCTTCTAATCCTTCTTGCTAGCTTTATCACAAATATTTATTATTAAATTTTTTTTCAAGAAATGGCAGACTCTACTCATAAGTTTGACATCATTTATGAAACTTTCCAGACTGTACAACTGTGTTTTCTTGTGGCATTGACATTGACTAAGTTATTTTCAGCTGTTTATAATGTTGGTTATTTTATGAAGAATTTAAATCTTTATTTTATAAATCACTTCTCGTCTTTCCAAATAATATCTTCGATCCATGACAGATAGTTGTATACATTGACGAAAATACCTGACAAATTAAATTGTTAATAAAGTTATAAATATTTTATAAAGATACAAACTTGGAATTCCCGGTGTTCCGCAGTTTAAAGCGCCAAAGCTTACAACTCCAATTATTTTATAGGTACAATGTGACTCATCATCATTTGGTACTTGAATTGGACCTCCAGAGTCACCCTAAAATATACGAAAAAATAAGTCTAGAATATAAAATGGCATTCTAAACTTACACGACAAGCGTCTTTACTGTCTGAATTGTCTCCATAACACACCATCGATGCTTTATCAATCGGTTGTGGAACATTTTCTTGGCATTCTCTATTTGAGAACTTTTCCAGTACAACTTTAAGTAATTTCTCAGATTGGGCATGACCTTTACCAGTTGTTCCTAAACCTGTGACGATAGCTTTTTCTTCGTCATGTTGCCTTGTTGGTAAGCAGATTGGATAGATATATTCACTAAACTTCACATCTTTGTCCAATTCAAGAAGTGCAATATCGTTGTTAAAAGATATTCTATCGTATTGAGGATGGATAATCTTGTTAATGACATTATAAATAAAAACATCACTGTCATCTTGTGAACGATCAAGCATTCCTAATTTGACGAACTTTATCTCTCTTAAACTTCTTCGGTAATTGCAATGAGCAGCTAGGAAAGAAGTAAGTTTATTACATTCAGAGAAGTAAATTAAAAATTTCATACCAGTCAAAACATATTTTGAGGAAATCAGCGATCCTCCACATGCCCATTGGATCCCTTTTCCTGTCATGTAACCCAAGAGAGCTTGATGTGGGAATTCATATCGATATGCTTCTTCCCCACCAACAATTAATGACACCGATTTGTGCTTGCATCTTGATGCTGTCAGCAATGTTCCATTCGGATTGAGAATGCTGACTCCAACACGAATTTTAGTTTGAGTGAGACTTTCAATTTCTTTACACTCTGTTTTGAAGATTTTTTGACTTGATTATTTTTGACAATTTTCGAAATTGTAAATCTTACTTCTATTGCTAATCTCTCCTTTAATTCTTGCAATTTCGACAGGACAGCAAATCACTCCATAAGCGTTGCAGTCAATAACATCGCTCCTTCCGATTTCTCTATTTCTTAATTTATTTAATATTAATGGGCAATCAGAATATCTTTTACAAACACCATTCTCATCGTTTTTAGTTTTACAGAATGAGCCTTCCTGCAAACTATAAGCTATAGAGCTTGAAATTATTATGATCAAAATAATTTTAATGACTGTGTACATTGCTGATGACTGAAAATAAATGATATAAAAAAAAATATATGATTTTTTGCAAGCTTCGTAAATTTTGCTCCAAAATTGTTCTTATCAATTATTCTTTGTTTTTAATTTTGATGTTTTTAATGCTTATTTATCTGTAGCTTGATATAATTCATTTTTGTTTTTAATTGTATGGTTTGAGATAGGATCGGGGACAGAGCGGTGTAGCAATGATAGACCATCATTGATACCAACTAGGAGTTGTTCATTAATGGCCATATATCCCAAAAATATTCAAAATAATCCCTGAGCCTGTATGCATTAGAATTGAGATATCCAATCATATCCTGAAATTACACGTCCAATACACTAAAGATATGTACGTTGGGATATCTTTATTATCGTGCATACATGCTCAGGAATTTTTTGAATATTTTTGGGATATGTGGGATTAATAATGATATTTGAGATAGTTTCCACGCCTTGATCTTAAACAGCTACTACAGAACTAGATGAGAATACTATTAAAGAATTATTTTCCTATTGTTTCTCAATCCCAGAAAATTACAAAGAATGAGAATTTCCAATTTATTATTTTAAATAAATAATGATGATTCTTAAAAGAATCTAGGTCTTAATATTAAAGTAGTTGTTCTAAATTCCATCCTTCCAAACAATGTTCTCAATCCAATCGATGTAGTTGAAAACATTGACGTAGACGCCTGAAAAATAGTTAAGATTTTATTGGTAAATCAGGTTAAAAGAAGTCCCACAGCAATACCTGGAACTCCTTTGGATCCACAAAGTCTTGGTCCGAAGCTTACGATTCCTATCTGCATGTAAGTGCAACTTACTTGATGTTGATTTGATACTTGAAGTGGACCACCTATGAATTAAAATAGGGAAAAACGGGAAAAACCAAGAAACAATTTGGTCAATAAAGCACAGATTCTTCAGTCTATAACTTACCAGAATCCCCCTAAAAAGAATTTAATCATTTTTAATATTTTGCTCAAAAGCTTAAAATGAATCAAAATTTTTGAAAAAGATCAATCAACTAACCTCACAAGAATCCTTAGTTTCATTATAATGTCCATAACACAACATCGTCTTCTCATAAATTGGTCTTTCATCGTAAAGCTCCTTACATTTTGAATTACTAAATTTGTCTACTGTAACTTTCAACAATTTATCAGATATTGGATCATAAAAGCTAGTTTTGCCAAATCCAGAAACAATAGCTTTTGGCTCATCGTATTGTTTTGTTGGCAAGCAGATTGTATGAATATCTTCATTAAATTCAACGTTTTGATTTAATCTTAGCAAAGCAATGTCATTATTAGTAATTGTTTTATCATAATCTGGATGTACGATTTTTTGGACAACTTTATAGAGTTTTTGGTCACTGCTTTGTGATAATGAGTTTATTCCAATTTTCACGAAATTGGCATATGGAACACAATGTGCAGCTAAAAGTAATGAAGATTAAAAATGCAATAAATCACAAAACTGAATAGCGCAAGTCGGAAAATCGAAACGAAATCGAGAGGAGACTTTAGAGAAAATTTCTGCTCTTTGTGACATTGTCCAAGCGTAGGATTTCGTCTCGATTATTCGACTTGTGCACCTCGGGAAAAACTTCAGTATTGATCCATCATTGCTCTGCCACAAAGAGTTTATTATCAACCACCGTGTAGCTTCCATATGAAGCCTTGAAAGATCCATATGAAGCTTGTACCATTTGTGTAGCTTAATTATAATTTATGATGAACTAATCGAACCTGTCAAGACAAATTGCGATGAAATCAGTGAACCACCGCACACCCAATCGATTGAATCTTCTTTACCTTGTCCCAGAACTGCTTGATGTGGAAACTCGTGAGGTTTAGCTTCAGTTCCACCTTAAAAAAATATAAAGATTGACATTTTGTATTATTCAAGGTCTATAACTAATGTTACCAATAATAAGCGAAACTGATTTGTGGTTGCATTTGTCGATGACAACTTTAAAAGGTTTTGCTCCTAAGATTGGTGATGCTAAGTAGGAAACTTGCTTGGTGCTTTCTGCATATTCTTTACATTCTGAAATATATTAAATTCAGTATAAAATTAATCTTGATTAAATCATTTACTTTCATCACTAATTCTTCGCTTAAATGCTATCTCTTGTGGTGGCAATAGTTCTGGATTATTATTATCAGTTAAGGGACAACAAACCAGTCCATAAGAATCACAAAACACAACATCTTTATACTCAATTTGATGACTTCTTAATTTGTCAATTAAATCTTTGCAGTTTTTGTAGTCCGTGCAGATTCCTTGATGATTAGTCCTCAACCTACATTCAGATCCAACTAAACTCTCAGATTTTACAGAGATTGTTAGTAAAAATGTTGATAGCAACAAGTAATTTTTCAGTGTGATCATGTTGACGATTTTAACACCTATGAAGATTCTCTTTCGTATCGCAAATGGGATTGTCTTAATGGACAATAAAATAAAATGTATAAGGTGTAGTCACTGACGTCAAAAAAATTATCGCCGTCATCCTACTTATTGTCTGTTTTCAAAGAGTGTCTAAACCTTGTTCCTATAAAGTAGAACCGTAGTCAGCAAAACAAGATTTTTAACACTTTACTTTGACAGGTCTTTATTGCTTTTTGCATAATATAACAAGTTATTAAAGAAGAATCAAAATACACTGATTATAAACATTTACATTTTCGTTCAGTTCAAAGTTAATGACTCAAACTTCGCCTTTCCAAACAATTCCTTCAATCCAGTCAATATAGTTGAATACGTTGACGTAAATTCCTATGAAGATTTGAAATAAAATCAAAAAAATTTTTTTTTGTTAATTACAAATCTAATGCGGCTTGAAATAAATTCTTGGAAAAATCTTAAAAATCCATACCTGGAAATCCTTTTGTTCCACATTCTTTCGCGCCAAAACTGACAATTCCAATTTGTTTAAATGTACATCTAACATCATCGTTATTTGAAACTTGAAGTGGACCACCGGAATCTCCCTAAAATTGTTTTAAAAATTTGGTATCAGTTTAAAGCTGACATAATCGAGCCTAATTTGAAATTGAACTTGAAGGTTGATTTAAAGGCTATCCCAGGCAACCTTAATATTGGGTCGTGAGTGCCCAAGGAAGCCCCTTAAAAACCAGTTTCAAGAATCAAAATGAACTGCCAAAAACATAGAACTTTTACAGATCCTTACCCTACACGCATCTTTTTTCTCCTTACGAGATCCATAGCACAACATCGTTTCCTTAACAATTTTTGAGTTCGGGTAAAGTGTTTGACATTCATTATGCGTAAATCGATTGAGTATAACTTTCATCAAATATTCCGTTTGTTCATGATTAGCGCCTGTTTTTCCAAAACCAGTAACAATCACATCTTGATTATCAAGTTGAGTTGTTGGCAAACAAATTGGATAAAGATGCTCATTGAAAGTTACTTTGCCTCTAAATTTGATGAGACCAATGTCATTTTCAAAAGTTCTTGGATTGTATTCTGGATATGGATGCGTCTTCTCGACATCAAAAATATAAACATTTTCGTCCCTTTGTGAGCGTGTTAACATCCCTAATTTGACAAATTTTACAGGCCCGGTACTTTTTTGATTCAAACAATGGGTGGCTATTGAGGTTTGAAAATTAGATTCCTTGAAGAAGCACAAAAGCAATTGATTTTACCTGTCAAAACATAATTAGCTGAAATCAACGATCCTCCACAAACCCAATCAGTTTCTTTATTTTCACGTGGTTTGTATCCTAAATGAGCTTGATGTGGGAATTCGGATGGAAGTGCATTGACACCACCTGCAATTGAAGAACATTTAAAGACATCAAGATATTCTTAAGAAACACCAATCACTTACCCACGATCAAAGAAACAGATTTATGCTGACATTTGTCTTGAATCACAACTCTGCCAGGTCGACCAAGGATAAGTGATCCTATAACGATTTCCTTTTGTGTTACTTTTGCATATTCTCTGCATTCTGTGAATAAAATGGAATAAATAAGGTTAATTTTAATGTTCAGACACAATCATCTACACTAGTGTGCATACAAGTTGCTTGGATCCTCGATTTGAATTAAATTTAAAGCAAATCGAAGATCCACAGTCTTTTTAAAACCTTAGTTCATACTTTTTTCACTTATCCTATCTCCTTGAATTCGTATTTCATTTGGCGGTTCCAACTCTCTATTTGGACAGCAAACTAAACCCTGTCGACGATTACAGTAAGTTACATTACGAGAAGGTATGAAACCACTTTTGATAGCCGGGCAGTCATCTCTATGTTGACACGTGCCAGGAAAGTGTGTTCCTCTTGTAGAGCACTCCGTCCCGACTGGATCATCATCAGAACTTTGGCATTTCACAAAAGCAAAAATTAAACAGAGAAGAGTTAAATGCTGAATGTTCATCTCGAAGGCAGGAAACTATACTACAAATATGGAATTTTTTATTCAGAATTCAAGCTTTGGTATGCATGATAAAATGTTCATTTTTATCATCAACTGCTCTCTGTTCATTGCTTTTTGTTTGCGTATTTTATTTCACAAAATGTATTATGTTTCCTATTATTTTTGCGCGTATTTAAGGGGCCGTTCACTTATGACGTTCAGGGGGGGGGGGGGGGGGTCAGAAAGAAAAGAACAATAGAAATTTCTGGAAATCCATTGTTCTTTTTTGAAATATGGCCGTTAATTTCGGACGTCATAAGTGAACGATCCCTAATACGATTAAGTTTTTAAGAACAAACGAATTTTAAAAGATATTTAGATTTTTGCTGTAAAAAAATTATTATTATTAGGGGCAGTCATAAATGACGTCAATCGAAATACGAGATTATTCTCTTGTTACAAAATTTGGATAAGAAAAATTCTTCTTTTTTCACAGTCAAATAACACCAGACTTCCCGTCATTAATGGACTCATTTTAAATAGGGGCCTTGCACATATTAAGTGACGCTTTTAAGGGGGACTGAGTCTTAGATTTCAAACAAAAAAAAACTCATACAATTTCTGTTACAATGGGGAAAGTAGAGATCTAAAAAGTAATGTGTAACGTTACGTAATAAGTGATCGGCCCTTGGAAGTTCCAAACAAGATTATAATTGTCATGTAGATGACCCTCTCTGGACCAACCATCATCAAATTTAAAAACATTCACAGTATGATTTATCACATGTGTTTATAGGGGTTGTGAATCTGTCAAAGCAACTCTTATCATTTGCTGGAATGAATAATTATGCATGAAGCAATTTTAAAGTGTGAGGGTCAGTTTTTTTGAATCTTTAATATCAAGAAAAAATATATTTCAAAAATAATAATCAGAGTTTTAATATTAACAATTTTTTTCACTTTATTGTCACTGATTTCAAATAAAATAAATCATTATTCATTATTGCTTCTGTAGGAAAGTTTCAACTACATTATTTAAGATTGCTCGTCACCCCAAACATTGTCTTCAATCCATTTTAGATAATAATACACATTTGCATAAACACCTGAAATTAATTAAAAATTCAATTGCAACTTAATAATTGAATTATTCATCAGAAATCTTACTAGGGACTCCAGGAGTTCCACAATCTTTTGCGCCAAAATTAACAACACCAATAACTTTGTATGTGCATTTTGCAACCTTATCGTTTCCCACTTGAATGGGACCACCTGAATCACCCTGTAAATATTAATTTAAATTTTCATTAGACTTGTTCATCTAAATAGTCAATCAAATAACCTGGCAGGAATCGGCTGGATGTGTTTTATTTCCATAACAAATCATTGAATTTTTGTTGATTCTAATTTGTCTTATAATAGTTTGGCAATCAGTTTGATCGAATTTATGTACAGTAACTTTCATTAATTTTTCAGAGCTGGCATCCGTACGATGTGTTTTTCCAAAGCCAGTAACAATTGCCTTGTCATGATTTGGCTCACTTGTTGGTAGACAAGCTGGATAAAGGAATTCGGTGAATGTAACAGTACCGTTAAGTTTCAACAGTGCAATATCATTACTCATAAATCTTGCATTGTATTCAGCATATTTAATATTTTTTTCAACACCATAAGTAAATACTTTGTCGTCTGCTTGTGAGCGACTGTTCATGCCCAATTTTACATATTTAACCTGTCCATATTGTGAGTGAACAAGGCAGTGTGCAGCTTTAATTAAAGGCGAATGTTTTAATTTAAATTAAATTAAAATCAATAAAGTTAATTCAAATTACCAGTAAGGATGAACTGAGATGAAATCAAGGAACCACCACAATAATAAGCAATGCCCTTACTAGTGTCATAACCTAAAAGAGCTTGATGAGGAAATTCATGTTTTTTTGCTTCACTTCCGCCTAGAAAAAATAAAAAAAAAATTAATTTATATCAAATGAGTAATTTTGTATCTTTTTAATTACCAACTATCAATGCTATGGACTGATGTTGGCATTTATTCGAAACAATTCTTCTTGATGGAAAATTGAGCAAGGAAGTGACGTAACTAACAGTCTGTGTAGCTTCTTCAAACTCCTTGCACTCTACATAACATTTTAAATATTTTAATAAAACAAAAAAAATTTATTGATGATTAATTTGCTCACTAATCTCGCTAATCCGCTGCAAAAGTGAATCATCAGGTATAATCACAACAATTAAAAGAATTAGCAGCCTAAATTTAAATTTCGATGTGATCATTCTGCACGCTTAATAACAACTGTTCACTTATATTCAACTATTTATACAACAAACAGTCAGTTGCAGAAACTGCTTTAAACAAAAATGATAAGAATAAAACATTACTAATTGTGGCGGATTTCATTGGAAAAAAATAAATCAAATTAATTAGAAAAAAATTAATATTTGTGATAAAAACAAATGATAAAATTGCTTTTAAAATTCTTTTATTTTTTTATTAAGCGTATTTGATGTAAAATCCCAGCTGTAGGAAGCACTTTCTGATCTTTTATATTTCATCTGGCCACACAATTCCTTCAATCCAGTCTAAATAATGGTATACGTTAGCGTAAACACCTAAGGAAATAATGAAATAAATTTTAAATTTTAACGACCCCTCAGTTCACTTATGACGTCCATCAAAAAACCTGATTTTTAGACCCCCCCCCCCCCCCCTTCACCCCTCTGTCACAAAAATTCTATAAAAAAATTTCCATTGTTGCAACTGTCACAAAATCCTAGACCCCCCCCCCCTAAATGTCGGACGTCATAAGTGAACGGCCCCTGATTTGGGAATTTGGAATTTAAGATGGATTATAGCTTCAGTACTATGGGTCCTCGATTTGAATAGGGTTTGTCTGAACTCAAATTGAGAACCCCCAGAATTGGGGATTAGACCAGCCCTTTCCTCTAGTTTTAGGAAAAGCAGCTAGGATTTTTCCAAAAACAATGTAATCGGTTCCATTTAAACTCTTCCGTCCATGCACCCCCCCCCCCCCCCTCTCAAACATCGAAAATTTCTGAACATCTCTGGCTGGTTTACTTATAGAAACATCGCTTGAAGATTTAATTATTTTGGACCCCATTTTAGCTCCACCTTAATATCTCAAAAAAGAAACTTACCAGGAATGCCGCTAGTTCCACATTTTTCAGGTCCAAAACTGACTACACCGATTTGAGTGTATGTACATTTCGATATGTGATCACTATAAATTTGAAGTGGGCCACCTAGCATAAAAATCATCCAGAAGTCTTACAATTTATTTATTTAAGAAGAAAAGCATTGAATCTTCACCTGAATCTCCCTGTAAATGATTTGTGAAAATAAATAAAATTTGCATTAACAATGATGCTTTAAAAGAAATTTCCTTACTTGGCAGGCATCTTTCTTATCGGTTCGATGACCATAACATATCATAGTGTCTCTAAATACCCGTTCGGATCTAACATTAAACAATTCTCGACAATATGAGTATGTAAAATGTTGCAATCCAACTTTAAGTAAATTTTCGGAAGTTGCTTCTTTTCCACCAGTTCTACCAAATCCAGTTAGAATTGCATCGCTTTCATACAGCTTGGATGGTAAGCAAATTGGAAAAATATTTTCGTTGAACTTGACAGTGTCATTGAGCTTTAGAAGTGCTATATCATTATTGTTTGTTTGTTGTTTGTAGTTTTCATGTTTATATTTCTCATTAATGCCATAAATTTTGACAAAATTATTAGATTCTATGCGAGATATCATTCCTAATTTGACGAATGTTACAGGTCCCGTATTTATGGAGTCTAAGCAATGTGCAGCTGTATGGATTAAACGTCAATTTCAGTTTTACTAAATGAAAATAATTCTTACCAGTCAAAACGAAATCAGGTGAAATTAAGGAACCACCGCAAGACCATTCAACTTTAAATTTCTGATATCCAAGCAGAGCTTGATGAGGAAACTCAAATAAAAATGCATCTTCTCCTCCTGAAATGATATTAATTTGTAGATCTTTGTAAACTCTTTCCCAAGCTACACCGCTGAATTATCAAGATCTTTCATTTACCAACGACGAGTCCAGTCCCACTCCGGCGACACTTATTAAGAACAACCTTGCTAGCTGGAAAATTTGGATGGCTTCTGACATAATATGGAATTTGTGTGATGCTTTCATATTCTTTACATTCTGTCAATTAATCAAGAAAGTATTATATTTTAAAATTGAGTCTACTGAATTAAATTATATTAACTTATTGCGCTAATTCGCTGATTCGCTGATGTGAAATAAACATTGATAAGAAGAGAAAGTATTAACAATATAATTTTAGAAGCGAACATTTCAATTGCTTAAAGATGACTGAGCAGATGATTCTCTTTAATTGAGTTTTTCTTTGAGAATAAAACGAATATTTGCATGTATAGTTCACAGTGTCATGAGAAGCTATAGAAACTTGGGAATTCCTTACTGATAAGCGACATTACACTAGTAAACTAGTCAGAGGAGAGTGGAATTCACCCAGTGCAGATAAGGCTTATTTTGCTGAATGGTTGAAGATCTGTAACCCGATCGTCACACGTTTACATTCATTGCAGCCTGGTTGATGGTATAACTACAACCAAGTGGTATCCAATTGGCAATGGCTTCAAAATTGCTGTCACGTGGTTTTAAGCATACTATCAACCCGGGTGTCAAGCATTTCAATGTGCGCCGATCCGGTAAGTTTCTTATAGGGGACTTGGGTTCGATTCTCAAGCATATATTGGCTCCTTTTTACAATATTGATAATATTCCATTCGGAGGGTAACCTCTCATTTCTGTTTCTTCTATTACACTTTAAATTTGAGTTCCATTCCTGAATCTAACTTTGCTCAAATATGACTTGCATCATACATTAAGCAGTCAAAGTATCTAAACTGTCGAAATAGAATAAATTTAAAAATGGTTGGATTCGAACCAAAGACCTTCGAGTTTCCATTAGAAATTTGAGGTAAATACCTTACCTATTCGACCAGCAAGGCACTTTACTGTCAATTTGAAAAGTTAACTTAAAGGTAGAATCATAATAATTTAATATTTTTATAGTGATTTTATTTTTTCTTCTTATAAAGTTTCAAATGCGATAATAAATTACCAACAAATCAATTTCACATTTCATCCTTCCATACAATGCTCTCAATCCAATTTAAATAGTAAAACACATTAGTAAAGACACCTAAGATATTTTAAATAAGAAATTAAAATTTTCAATTCATAATCAAATATATTTTTACCAGGAAATCCAATTTGTCCACAATTTTTTGGTCCAAAGCTAACAATTCCAATTTGCTTGTAAGTGCATTTTGATTGTATGTCATTTAGAATCTGAGCTGGACCACCTAAATTTAAGATGATTAAGTTTTTTGTCTTAAAAAATGATTTTTTATATTTATATATTACCCGAGTCACCCTACATTAAACAAAAAATAAATTAATTAAATTTATCAAAGTATCTTGGCAGTGCTTAGAAGTTTTAACAGTCTTACCTGGCATGCATCTTTCTTTTCAGTTCGATGTCCATAGCAAATCATTGTAGATTCATTTAATCTCTTCTTTCTGTACAATTTTTGACATTCATCAAAAGGAAACAATTCAAGACCAACTTTCAATAAATTATCTGACTGTGCATGATATTGAGCAGTTCTTCCAAAACCAGTGACAATAACATCCGAATCCTCATCCTGTTTTGATGGTAAGCATATCGGATATATTTTATCACTAAACTCAATATTCCTGGTGAGTCTTATAAGACCGATGTCGTTGTTGATTGTCCTTTTATTAAATTCTTGATGCTGAAATACTTTAGCAACATCATATGTGACTGTAAATTTATCTTCCAAGCGTTGAAGCATTCCGACCTTGACTAGTGACACAGTTACATTTTTTGGATGAATTATGCAGTGAGCGGCTTAAAAAAAGAGAATTTTTTGAAAAATTTTAATAAAAAAATCAAAAATCTCACCAGTCAGAATAAAATTAGGCGATACTATGGAACCGCCACATGACCATTCAATTTTATTTCCAACTTCGAATCCCAAGAGTGCCTGATGTGGAAACTCATTTATATTTGCATTAGTGCCACCTAAGGAAGTAAATATATTAATAACCTCCCGCTCAAGTTCTTACGATCAGCATCACATTTCACACTTACCAATCACCAATGGAACTGATTTATGTTTGCATCCATCAGTTGCTACTTTGTTGACTGGAAAACTTGGGTGACTACTGACATAGAACGGAATTTGTGTTAAACTCTCATATTCTTTACACTCTGTAAAATATTTTAAGAAAAATAAGTTTTTGTTTAGAATCAAAAGTCAATTCTTACTTATATCGCTTATTCTTTGTTGCCCACATGTGAGTTTTGCAAGTATAACAATTGTTAGAAAAACTAAGCTTATTTTTGATGTGATCATTTCAAACGCTGTAAAATGACTGAGAGTAAATTCAGTTTTTTTTTTCCTAAGTTTGTTTCTCTGAGAAATGTTATTAATTTAATAAAAGTATCAAGTTGACTCAATTCGTGGCGAAATTCAAATTAAACGGATGTAAATCAATTTAGTCAATTTATATAATTAATAATAGAATTTATTCTTTTTTTTTTTGATCATAAAACTGATAGATTGATTATACAGATAGAGATTGCAGTTTATAGTTCAATGAAGATGTATGTTGCACACATTTTTGTTTAACTCCTCATCCCCTCCGACAGTTTCTTTGATCCAATCAATATAGCTGAATATATTCACAAATCCATCTGAAATTTTAAAAATTAAATAGATTAAAATTGATCTATTAATCGATCTGCATGTCAATGACTTATTGCATTTAAAGCAGCATCAACATAGAAACTTGGAAGATCAATCATAAGCATGCAAAACAATTGAATTTGAAAAAAACTAAATGATATGAAACTTACATTTCGCACTATCACAGCCTTGCGGTGGAACAGTTAAAACACCAATCTGGGTATAGATGCACTGCATTCGATTATCATTCACAATTTGTAATGCTGAACCTTGATTAGAGAACAGAGTATTACTCTCTACTGCAATCTATTAGATATTTGACATAAATTACCTTCAGTTAACTAGAAAGAATCAAAATATGAATTAAAGTTACTGCAATGATTGAGGATATAAAAGATTACTTACCTTGCATTTAGCAATATTTTCCGTAGTGCCATAGCAAAAATTCTTATCCTGATCTCGAGCAGTACTTCTTATTATTTGGTTGCATTCTTCACGTGGCTGCTTTTGAAGTGAATATTTAAATATATGCTCAGCTTCACCATGATCATTACTTTCTTCAGGATATCCAGATATAATAACTGATATATCATCAGGTTGCTTATTAGGTAAGCAAATAGAACAAATGAATTGTCCATAGTTGACAGACGCATTTAACTTTACGATGCCAATAAATTTCTCATAATCTGGCATTTTTGGGTTAAAATTTCCAGGAGCAAATACATCATCGATACTGTAGATCCGAGCTTTACCATCCTTTTGTAGTCGATCATTCATGCCCAGTTTAACAAATTGGGGAACTCTATAAAAACCGAAATTTAGACATTGTGCAGCTATAAAAGGAACAAAGAACATATTTAATTCAACATACTTTTAATCGGTTCCGTAATTCTCGCCAACACTTTACCTGTCAATACAAAATTAGGTGAAATCAAGGAACCGCCACACAACCAATTAATATCATGACGCGTTCCATATCCAAATGGATTATTGTTGTCATAACCTAAAATAGCTTGATGAGCAAATTCATGTTCATTTGCTTGGCTTGTCTTACTCTGATGAACTATTTGAGCTAAAGTAATATTTTTGGTTAAAATTGGATTGAAACAGCGCTAAGCAGTAGCTTACTTACTATTTTTATACATCCATTGTGAATTTGATGGTTTAACGGATGTTGTAGCTACATCTGTTTTTGTAGCTGATGACTTGGTTGTCATAGGACTCTCAGTTGTAGTAGTTTTTGACCTTAACCTTCGAATTTCTTCCTGAAGCTCTCGAAATAAAATTTGTTCATCCTTTCCAGTCGTTATCCAGCTATAAAAACTTAAAATGTCTGTAAAAATTGAATAGCTGTTGATATTACATCCAATCAAAGTATCGTGCAACGACGCTGAAACAATTCCTCGAAGATAATATACTCCTTCATGCTTAACAATCAATCCACTTCCACTGTCACCTACACAAACACTGGTTCCGTTTGCATAACCTCCACAAAATGTACGACGAGTTAAAAGATTTTCATGATCCGAACTATTGGCACAGAAATCATAGCTATGAATTGGCGATGAAATGACTCTTGCGATATTTTCAACATCTCGATGCTCACTTTTTCCGAATCCAGCTATAACGCCTTCTGTAATTGATGCTGATGCAGAGTTTGGTGCAGCAATGCAAATAGGTTGGATATAACGATTGAAAGTGACTTCATCGTCTAATTCAATAATCGCGATATCTGCATCATATGAAACCACGTGTGGATTCCAATCATGATGAACGGAGATTGTTTTAACACTTGCAGTTATTCTTGATGGTTCTCGACGGGCTTCTAAGTCATGAGCTCCAATAATGACGAAAATGTCTCGTGGTCTGAAAAAATATAACCTGCCTTTACCTTCGATGCAGTGAGCAGCTGAAAATAAGATATATGTTACGGATGTTAGAGTCAGGAAGGATTTTCAATAAAGTATGTACCTGTGACGACTAGCTTATTTGACACTAGTGATCCACCACAAAAGAATGAATTATCACTAGAATTGGTAAGTGCCACATTCCTAATGAAAAATAACAAAATAAATTTAATGATAAGGATTATCTATGATAATACTAAACTTACCAAGGATAAGCACCTCGTTTGACTTGAGTTCCATGATATGCTGTCCCAAATGCCATTTTTGGCTTACCACAATTGCTTGATTCATTCTGAAAAAGTTCCAACAAGAATATCAAAATAAAATCGATAGCTTGGTCTAATTCCGAAAGACCAACCTCTACAAAGTCCCACAAAGAAGCTTAAAAATACAAAAGGAACGTCAAAAAATTATTCAAAAATTTCAAAACTTTATCTTACATCTCGAACTAACTGGAACATCCAATCTACTAGAATTTGACTTAAAATTGTTGTTTATAATCTCCGACGGGCAGCAAATAGACCTTGTCACAACATCACAAACTTTTATTTGTTCTCTTCTGATTGAATTATTCTTTAACTTATCAAAAATCACTTTGCAGTTACGAATGGCAACGCAGATTCCATTAAAGCCATTAAAGTCTTGACAACTTGACCCATCTGGTAAATTTTGACTTTTTATTCCACGAATTAAAAAAATAAAGAATAAAACTTTCACAAATGTTGTTTTCATCTCAGCAATTAATTAACAACTGCTATATAGATGCTCATTTAGATGCTCAAGAGATGCAAGAGATTTAATTTTAAGAGAGAATTTTTTTGAAGCAACAAAGCGAATGAAGAGAACGCTTAATCATGAACATAGTGGCTATGAGATGTGTCAAAATGACATTCGTTCAAAAATTTTGTTCTAAATACAAACATGACTAAAGGGCAATAAGATCATGATTAAAACTTAATAATAAAGTAATCAAAATTGAGTAATAAATTTTTTATTTATTTTTTTTTTATAAAGTATTTTAAATTAATTTATATTTGGTATTAATTTACATTAATCTGACTTAAATAAGTATTAATTTTTGATATAAATATTCAATAAGTACAAAACAAGCTATCAAAACAAGCACATTACAGATAAATGTCACAGGAATCAAATATTATTCCGTAAATCACTCTCTCAATACAGCAACAAATACTATGGACATTATCTTCAAATTCACTCGTTTTTCCAAACAATCTCTTCAATCCAATCAAGGTAATTAATGACATTAACATAAACAGCTGTAAGAATGAGGTTTTATACTATGTGCTTAAAAACATTTGATTAATATTCTTACCTGGAACGTTTTGACTTCCACAATCACTTGATCCAAAACTTACAATTCCTACTTGAGTGTAGGTGCACTTCACATTGTCATCGTTTGAAATTTGCAAAGGACCACCTAGAAATTTAAAAAAATACTTTATTGGATTGCCCTAAACCAAAACAAGGCTATACTATTAAAAATTAAGCAGCTGAATGATTATACATACCAGAATCACCCTGAAAGTTCAAAGAAAAATGTAAGTCAAACCTATATTTATTCTAGACATCGATGAAGATGCAAAAAAAACACAAAAACTCACCTCACATGAATCTTGATTCTTTGTATGATGTCCATAACACAGCATAGCAGTTCCATTATAATTTTCAAACACATATTCACAATCAGAACTTTCAAACTCTTCAACTGTTGCTTTCATTAAATGATCTGAAAGTTCCTTATCGCCAGTTCTTCCAAATCCTGTAACAATTGCTCTCTCAGCGTCTGGTTTTGTTGTTGGGAGACAAATTGGATAGATATGTTCACTGAATTTGACTTCTCTGTCCAATTTGATGAGTGCTATGTCATTGAGTTGTCTAAAACTGTCGTATTTTGGATGGAGAATTATTTCATCGATTCCAAAAGTTACTGTTTTGTTATTGTTAAATTTCCTGTTGTGTACGCCAAGTTTGACAAACTTTACAATGCCGTGTTCTTCACTGAATTTGCAATGAGCGGCTGTAAATTGAAAATTCTTAGAATCTCTTAATGTCATTTAATTGGATATGACCCAAACCTACCAGTCAACACAAACAGATGAGAAACAAGTGATCCACCACAAAGCCATTCTTGTGGATTTCCTTTATTGTATCCCAAAAGTGCTTGATGTGGAAACTCGTAAATATTAGCGACTTCTCCACCTGATAAATGGAAAGAAAACAATGAATTTGAATGGAAGACCAAAACACATTCTTTTTGTTTTAGACTTGATGATAGCTTTGGTAAGTTGATGGTCTTATTCAGTGTTGTCCAAACTGTGTGTCGCGGCACACTGGTGTGACGTAGAAACTTTTTATAAATGACGTAACCTGCATGGTATGTGCGACTTTAGCAATGGCTTACCTCAAAGGTGTGCCGTGGCTCAAAAAAGTTTGCACACCACTGGGTTATTTAATTATGACTTAATTTAAATTGGGTCTTTTTTTTTAATTTGGTCAAGGCTGTGGAGTTAATTTGATCATTTTAATCTACAGTCATTGCTCTGGTTTAGATTTTTTTGAACTCTTCTATCAAAATCTATTATATTGTCAATTAACTGACAAGTTTTAAGGAACCACAAACTCACCCCTTTCCCTCCTTAATTATCAAACAGAAATAAAGAATTCAAAATGACTAAAAACTTTCATTCCGAGCAGCTTGTTTGTCGGGGTCATAAATCAAACTTACTTATTTAATCTAATTTGCATTTTATAATTAATATGAATATTGATTTCAAAACATGCCAATATTGATATTTGACGTCATATTAAGCTGACTCACCTACTACTAAAGGCACAGATAGATGTAAACACTTGCTTGTAATTACGGTTCTTGGACTTTTCTCTTCAAGATGTCCCAAAACATAAATGACATTTTCAGTTGCTTTTCCATATTCTTTGCATTCTGTTTGGGGAATAAAAGAGTTTTTTGGAGATCTTTTAATTTCTTTTAACTGACCAGAATCATGTAACGCTCAAATCCAGCATAGCATTAATAGAAAATCATATAAGCTGAATTGAACTAAGTTGATATCTTAACATTTCGTTAGCTTAGCCACAATTCAAACAGAAACTCTGAGTTACACAAAATGCTCTTGCTCCAGGAATCAGCATTCTTTAATAATAATCATTAAAATTCCTTACTTTGCTCACTAATTCGAGTCACTTGAACATGTCGTGTAGTTTCAATCGGTTTCTTATTGTGAGTTGCTGCTGTAGCCGGAGGAATCTGTCCTCTTCTCCTACTAGTCGTCCTTAATGTAGTCATTTCCATTCTATTATCTTCTATTTCCGGACAACAAATCAATCGCAACTGACTATTGCAAAAAATAATGTCATTCCGATCGAGAACTTTTCGTTGAATTTGACTGAATATTATTGGACAGCTTCTAATATTTGTGCAGGTACCATACAATCCATCGTTATATCTACACTCTGATCCAAATGACAGATCATCACTTGTGATATTTTTGATAAATAAAATCAAAATCAAGAACTTCAAGCTTAAGCTGTTCATGACGACTAACTAGAAAGCACTAAAACCGGTTCGGCATTGTCACTCAAATAAATAACAAAACTTGCAAAAAAAAAATCACAACCTTGAAGGCGATGTCTGAGTGAGCAAATAAAAACAAAATAAACGACTATGAAAGAGCTCATATTAAAAATGATTTTAAATTATAAGAGAGATAAAGAGAGATAAAGAGAAGATTCTCTCAATTTGATCAATCATTGCTCTCAAGCAGATAATAGTGCTTTGAACTTGACAATGAAATTTGTAGTATTACCAAAGATGTGAATCATGTGCGTCTAGTCACATTGTAAGTGGAAGAATCAATTTTGCACGCTTATTTTCCGTAATTTTATTTCAAAATGTGATTTTTTTGAGACATAATCGTATTTAATGACGAAAAGCAATCATTCAGCAAATTAGATCATTTACTTTAATAGTTTTAGGAAGTCCAATGGGATCACTCACTTTTTATGTCATCAGGGATTGCTCATGATGCAAATGACAGCTCTCAGAAACTCGTCAGAAACCTATGAGATATTTCCGTCATTTTATCGAATAAATAATTCCTACATTAACGCACAGTGCTTCTTTTATGGCATCTAAGACTTTTTTGTTGAGAAAAAACCCAACACAGAGTATGTTAATCTATTCAATCAACAGTAAACAATTATTTTTATTTCCTTTCTTAAGAAAACATAACAAAATTATTGCAAAATATAAATGTTAATTATTTTTCTATTGATTCAATACTTTTCAAGATTAGCTTTGTTCCGCTAAGCGGTCTTCATCCTCCCAAATAAATTGTTCAATCCAATCAATGTAGTAGAAAACGTTGACATACACGGCTGTGAAGAGAATTATTAAAGTCACGTGAAGATATATTTAGATCAACTTGAATTTACCTGGAAGTCCTGGAATTCCACATTCATTTGGTCCATAGCTTACGATTCCAATTTGAGTGTATGAGCATTTAACGTTCTTGTCATTTGAAACTTGTAAGGGACTTCCTATATTTGTAAAAAATTAATAATTATAATTTTGATTAATGCCTATCAATAAATAATACTAATACTAGCTCAGTGAGGGAGCAAGGAGGTTCAATATCCTTTACGAAGCCCCTGAGCCAGCTCTATTTATCAAATTTTAATTGACAAGGATTTGGAGGCACTTGGTGTCTTCGAAAGACGAATACTGCGAGCAATTTATGGTCCTGTGAAGGAAGGAGAAGAGCATCAAAGTCGACATAATGTTGAGCTACATAATTTATTTCAGGAAACTGATATTGCTCTAGCTCTCCGTGCAAATCACTTGAGATGGGCTGGGCATGTGTTCAGACGCTCACAAGATGCCAAAGTATTAAAAGTGACAGTAGTAGACTTTATGGGTGGCAAGAGATTACGAGGAAGACCGAAGATCTCGTGTATTGGATGTGTTGAAAAGGACGCTAGAGTCCTTAATATCCCAAACTGTCAAAAATTTTCTAAGAATAGAGCTGTCTTAAAAAATCTCTGAGCGAGGCAATGGTTCCCCAGTCAAGGAATTAAGTAAGTAATTGACAAGCTACGCTTTCTAGATCTTAATACCAAGTTTATCTACTTTAGACTTACCTGAGTCACCCTAAAAAAATAAAAATAAAATATTAAAATTAAAAAACATTAAATTTCATGCCATTCTTACACTGCATGTGTCCCTCCTCTGAGTTCGATGTCCAAAAAATATAAACTTGTCAACAATTGTTTCATTTGAAATTCGAGATGGATAATAAGGCTCAAACTTTTCAAGAACTACTTTCATTAATCTTCTTGATCGAACACTCGTCTCTGTTGCTCCAAATCCAATTGCAATTGCATTTCTATGCTCAGATTGTTTATTGGGAAGACAAATTGGATTTATATATTCACTCAATGGAACAAAATCATCTAATTTAAGGAGACCAATGTCGTCAATGCGGTTGATTCTATCATAATCTGGATGTTCTATATATCCAATCACTCTTCGGGTTATAGTATTTGCTGTATCTTCTAACTGTTTAAACATTCCAAGTTTTACAATTTTTACAGATCCAAGGTCGTAGTCAATCACGCAATGTGCAGCTGAAACATGAACAGTTCGTCAAATTCGCCAGAAAATAAGAAAAAAATTATTTTAAAAAAGTTTACCAGTTAAGATGTAATTTTTAGACACTAAGGATCCTCCACACTTCCATAATATCATATCATTATATTCATAACCTAATAATGCCTGATGTGGAAATTCGTAGGGCATTGCTTCTCTTCCGCCTGTAATTCAAAATTTTCATTCATTTTGCATAGAATCATGGAGCTTTAGGAGGATTGAAATTATATCAGTGATTCTCAAACTTTTAGGACACCACAATGTGAACTAGGATTGGGTTATGGACCCTACCCAGCTCCCTTCCCATGCAGTAAACCACTCATTTATTGTAAATTTGGTAATCCATCATATTTTTAACAATACAATAAAAATTGATGACATAGAAGTGTATCGCGAAGCATAGATTGAGAAAAACTGTACTAAATACTTAGTAGTTGCATGTTTATAGCAGATGTTAATAAAATTAAATAATTCAAACATATCCACAAGCCTTAGCCACATTATTCGTATTTGATAACAACATATTGCTTTCCATTTGTAACACATTATCTTGAATTTGAATATACATTCATGAGCACTTCCAGGGAAAATACGCGGAGATTATTCAATCAGTTTAGAGTAGTTTATTTACGCTGTTTATTCAGGGACTGATCACTGTTATCGTTTAGTAGAAATGAGACTGGAGTAAATTTTTTTGACATTTAATCATTATTCATTTTTGGGGTTGTCATCCGAAATTTAGGGGCAAAGGGTTTAAGGATTTTGTGACAGCTCAAACAAACGAATGACCCTTTTGGAATATTCCTTTAATTAACTGAAGGGATCGTTTACTTATGACGTCCGTGAGAAAATAATAATAGATTTCCAGTTTCCAGGAATTTTTATTGTTCTTTTCTTGTTGACCCCCTCCCCTTGGAAGTCATAAGTGAACGGCCTCAAAGAACTTCAAATAAAAAAACCAAAAAGTCTTTCAATTTATTCCTTCCACCCCCCCCCCCCCCCTCTCCCTTCCCCCTACAATCTTCTTCTCAAATCTTGTTAAATTTATCTTCAGCATTGGACTTATAAACCTTTAGTGACTTTGTTATTCTGGACTTATAATATTCTGTGCAAGATTTTTGTATCTGGACTTATATCCAGACTTACCCAGCATCATTTTAAGTCAAACTGTCTGTGAAATGCTTTTCAATACTCACCGACAACCAGCGGAATTGCCTTGTGTTTACATTTATCGATAGTAAGTTCTCTTGGCTTATGTCCAAGCAATGCCATAACTCTGATCGTATGGACAGTGCTCATGCCATATTCATCACATTCTAAAAAATCATAATTTTTGAAGACTCTCAAAAAAAGTTGAATTTTTTTTTATCTTACTTTCTTCACTTTTTCTTCTCGGTCGGACTGTCGTTGTATTTACTGATGAGGATGTGACTTCTGTATCATTAATTGTTGATGTTGTGCTTTCTGTACTGATTGACAATTTTGTTGTGATTGAAGATTGTGTTGACGTTGTGGAATTTTCTATAGTTTTGGGAATTCCTGTTGTTTCATTACTTTGAAAGGAACTCGAATGGTCTATCGATGAATTGTGTTCATTAGAAAATTCATTTGCTGTCTCATTATTTGAAATATTTGGATATTTTTGATTTAGATTCTTTAGTTCATTAATTTTTAATAAAAGAACAGCTTTTGTTGTATTTTTCAATATTTGACTCTCATTCTTGATATTGAATTCGTTTGGGCTAGGTTTCGTATTATTTTTTGATTCTGTTGAATTATAACTGACTATAAAGTTTTGAATTTCGTGATTCTCTTGTTTTATTAAAGGATCATTAGTTATTGATGGTTCACTGATTGGTTTTTGTTTTGGTTGAAGATTGTTTGATATTTCAAATTCTGTCAGAATAGACTCAGAATCTTCAGGAAATGCAAATTTTTCAGTATTTGCTTTTGAATTCAAATTATGATTAATTGGAAATTCTGTAGAAGTTATTAAATTTTTGTAATTTGGTCGTTTTCTAAATTTTTGTTTATTTTTAAGTGTTGTCGTTTCATTGAAAGCAGAAGTTGAGCGTTCAGTGGAATTTGGATGATAAGGGAAGTTTGGTAAAATCGTTATTTTAGATAAAAAATCTTTAAGTGATGTTTCGCAAAGATTTGTAGAAAAAGTTTGCCTTTTCGGACAACAATAAACTGTTTCTTCAGTACACATTTCATCCTTTCCTAACTTAATATGTTTAATTCCATTTTTATAATGCGAACCACAGCATATAAATTTCTGATATAAATTAGAATCATCATCAACCTTTTTGCAAATTTTTGAAATTCCAGAAGGACATTGATCACAATTAATATTAAAAACAAAGCAAAATATTAAAAATATACTCGAAATTAAATAATTCATTTCGAGCGATGGAGAGCAACTGAATGTACGATAAGAATTTTATGTAAAGCAACTGAAAAAAAAATCCGAGTAAAGTAAAAATAAGAAGAATAAAATTTATAAAAATGAAGGTTTTTTTTTATTTTTGATTAAAATTCTTAATATTTATTTTTTAATTTAATCAACTGTATTTAATGACTTTATCAAGGCTTGAGGATTGAGTTTTTAACAAAACTTAATCTTATTCATCAACTTCAACCTCTGAACTTTACTTACGTGCTGAGACTAAAATTACAATAAGGACCTAATGGTTTTCAAGCTTCATCCTTCCAAACGATACTCTCAATCCAGTCAACATACTTGTAGACATTAACATAAGCACCTATAAAAATATAATCATAATTTTTTGTTGACTAGAAATCAATAAAAACGATAAAAACAAAGAATAGTTTACTTGGCTTTTCAGAAATTCCACAACTGCTTGTTCTTAAACTGGATATCCCAATTAATGTGTATGTACAATTTACTTGGTCATTATTATTTACTTGAAGTGGTCCACCTTAAGTTTTAAATTTAGGATTTTTTTTAAAAAATTCCTAATACTATTCGTCCTCGATTTGAGTAGATTCGATTAGAACAAGATTTTTCTGAAATCAAACACTTACTCAAATCGAGGACCCCCAATAATTAAATTTTGTAGGTTTTACCTTTTTCAGTCTGAAATAAAAAAAAATTATGGATTACGAAAAATTTTAACAATTCAAAAAAATTAAGACTCACAATACAAAAGTCTTTTCTATCTGCATTATGTCCATAGCACAACATTGTAGATTCGTTGAATTTTTCATCGTACAAATCCTTACAAATTTGTTGATCAAATTTGCGAACCTCGTCTATGAGTAACTTTTGAGACGAAGTATCATAGTCAATTCCGTTTTCTCCAAATCCAGTTTCAATAGCTTTAGTATCATAATAAGGTCTTGTAGGCAAGCATGCTGGTAAAATGTTCTCATCGAAATTGATCGACCATTGAAGCTTTAGAAGAGCGATATCATTGTGTAATGAAGACCACTTGCCTTTTGAGTGCTTAAAAGTTTGCTTGACTAATAAGAACAATGATTTAGCACCTTCATTCAATCGATCGAGAACACCTAATTTAACGAATTTAATAGCTCCATACTCTATTAAATCGATGCATTGCGCAGCTATAATAAGAAAATATTACTGTAGCATTCAAAAAACTACTGATTGGAACTAAGTTGGACTTCTTTTATTACCAGTTAATACAAATTCAGAAGAAATCAACGACCCACCACAAATCCATTTAAATTCATCGTTTATTTGGTAACCTATGAGAGCTTGGTGTGGGAATTCAAGCGGACTAGCTTCATGTCTTTCTGAAAATAGATTGAGATGATTATCAATTATTTTAAAATTGAATTCATAATACCGATCAGCAATGGACTTGGACTAAAGTTGCACTTAGTTGTTGGTAAAATATTAAGATCGCTTTTGGTTTCTACAGCACTTTTTCCATATTCCTTGCATTCTTAAATTGAAATAAAATAGTTTATTGCCATTCATGAATAAAAAACCAAAACTTCCTCACTTTTCGCACTGATTCTTGGACAGCAAACAAGTCTTCTAATTTGATCGCAAATTGGTAAATCCTTAATTCTAATAGTTCCTTGCCTAAATAATCCATAAAGTGATTCACAGTTCTTAATATCTACACATTTACCAAATGATCCATCACTAAATCGACACGGAATCGAATCATCACAATTTGTAAAGCCAAAAAGCATCAAAAATGACAAAATTAAGACCCTCATCTTGAATAAACAGTAAACAACTGAATTAATTAATACTAATTTGTGCTTTAAAAATATCATGAGAACTAAAAAGAGTAGTGGAATGAGAGATAAAACATTAAGAAAAAACTCAGCTGAAATGTTGTACAAAACTATCAAAAAAGAGCTCGACTTGTTTCCAATAAACTCGATTCAAAACCGAGTCTTGAATTAACAAGAAGTCAACATTTCCATAGAAAAAAAATTTGCTAGTCAAGTCAAGTTGGATCGAGTCATGTCAAGTTGAATCGAGTCAAGTTAAGTTGGATCGAGTCATGTCAAGTTGAATCGAGTCAAGTTAAGTTGAATCAAGTCAATTCAAGTTGGATGATGTCAAGTCAAGTTGTATCGAGTCAAGTTGACTAATGCAAAGTCAAGTTGAATTGAGTCAATTTGCATATTGAGAGTTCAAAATTGTATTTGATTCTTAGTAAAGCATCAAGTTTTGGTTTCATTTTTCATATAAATATTAAGCATTTATTAGCCTTAAATACAAATCAAATATTGTAGGCACAAAATATTATTCTAGACGAATTTCAATCAAATTTTCATACTTCATCCTTCCAAACGATCCTTTCAATCCAATCTAGGAATTTGTAGACGTTAACAAACCCTTCTATGGATAGATTAGAAGAAATTTCAAAATTTATGCAAAAATCTACAAAGAAAACTTTACCAGTTGCTCCAATAGTTCCACAGTTACCTGCTCCAATGCTAGAAATCCCAATTTGTGTAAATGTACAATTTACTTGATCATCATTTGAAACTTGAAGAGGTCCACCTAAAGTTCAAAATTCTTTAAAGTTAATGTTAAGGTTAGAATTTGCTGGATCTTACCAACATCAGTCTAGAAACAAATAAACAAATAAAAATAAAATGCTCAAAAATTTATTTGAATCTTGACTCACAACACAAACGTTTCTCACTCCTGATTGATGTCCATAGCACAACATTGTAGTTTCATTAAAATGATCTTCATAACTTTCTTTACAAAACTCTTGATCAAACTTAGTAACAATATCTTTCAGTAAATTCTGTGATGAACCTCCACTTCCAGTTTCTCCAAACCCAGTCTTGATAGCTTTTGTATCATAATAAGGTCTTGTTGGTAAGCACACTGGCCAGATATTATCATTTTCTTTGACTGATCCTTGCAGTTTAAGAAGAGCAATGTCATTTTGTAATGCAGACGTCCTGTCTTTTGAGTGCTTGAAAGTTTGCTTGACAGTAAAAGTCACAGACTTGTCTGCATGATTTAGCAGATCAAAAACACCTAATTTAACGAACTTTACAGCTCCATACTCAATCGAAGAGATGCATCGAGCAGCTGAAATTAAAATTAAGGATTTGGATCAATTTTGTATTTTGGAATCATTAATGTTACCTGTTAATACAAAATTCAGTGAAATTAATGATCCACTACAGATCCATTTGACTTCATCATTAATTTGATAGCCTAAAATAGCTTGATGAGGGAATTCAAACTGTCTTAATGTTAAAGGGTTTCGATTATGCGACAAGATAGGTCTATTGCGAGCCCATTCATTGTAGAATCTATTTGTAAGTTGTTCTGACTCGTCTCCTAATATTTAAAAAAGTCTAAAATTAATTCAAACAAATTATTACTTATAATAAAAATCAAAATCTTAATAACCGATCAAAATTGAAGTTTGACTAAACTTGCACTGAGTTTTAATTAACGTATTTGAACTGTTTATCGTCTTTAGAGCACTTTGTCCATATTCCTTACATTCTATAATTAAATTGGAACAAAAAAGTAACATTTTTGCGATCAAATTAAATATTTTCTTACTTTTCGAGCTGATTCTTGGACAGCAAACAAGTCTTTTAACAGGATCACAAATCGGTAAGTCCTTCACTCTTATAGTTCCTAGTCTATACAATCCAAATAGTGATCTACAGTTCTTAATCTCGACACATTTTCCAAATGATCCGTCATTAAACCTACACGGAAACGAATCATCACATTTTGCAATACAAAACAGCAACAAAAATGATAAAAAAAGAACTTTCATGATGAATAAACAGTAAACAACTGAATTACTCAATATTAACTAAGTTGTGCTTTAGAAACATCATGAGAAATTAGAGATTAAGAATGACAATGATTCTCAAAGATCAGCTGAGTTATTTCCAGTTTGCATATTCTCATTTATTTTTGATAAGAGCATTTGAAGCAATGTAAATAAAAACATAACTTTGCCAAGGGGATAACGCTCTGAAAATTGAAAGTCAATAATTATCAAAGTTCTCTTGGAATAAGAACTTAACATCCTCAAAAGTGAATCTAGTAATGCATTTATTTTCCATACAAATATTCAAAATTCCTTTTTAGTAGCTTCATTTATTCAATACATAAAAATTTCAATCGTTTTTCACACTTCATTCGGCCAAACAATCCCTTCTATCCAATCTATGAATTTGTAGACGTTGACATAACCTCCTGCGAAGAAATTAATAGAAAATTTACAATTTGAATGAAAATCTTCAAATAAAAGTTTACCAGCAGCTCCAGTCAGTCCACAAACTTTAGGTCCAATGCTTACAATTCCAAATTGTGTAAATGTACAGTTTACTAGCTCATGATTTGATATTTGAAGGGGTCCACCTAAAGTTTTGACATTTATTAAAAAAACATAAAGAAGCTTTTTTTTATAAAAACGTGACAAAGTCTTTGAGATAAACAAAAATCTGCGCCTAATCGCATCTCTAGCTGTTATTTTAGTAAAACTAACCTGAATCCCCCTAAAAATTGCATAAAAATAAATTAAACTCCATTAAGAAATTATTTAAGATTAAAACTTACATTACAAGCATCCATTCTTTTTGTATGATGTCCATAGCACAGCATTGTGTCTTCATTGTAATTTTGTTCATAAAGGTTTTTGCAATTCTCATGATCGAACCTTTCTAGAACAACTTTCATTAATTTTAGTGATTGATCTCCTCTTCCAGTATCTCCAAAACCAGTCACAAATGCTTTGTCGTTGTAATAAGGTCTTGTTGGCAAGCAAGCTGGGAAAATAAATTCATTGAGTTTTACTGACTCTTGTAGTTTTAATAAGGCAATGTCATTATGTAATGTAGACTAATCTCCTCTTGGGTACTTGTGTCTTTGTTCTACAGTTGAAAGTACAAATTTATCTCCATCATATCCACGATCATTTATTCCGAGTTTGACATACTTCACAATTCCGTGGTCCGGCGAGTAAACGCAATGAGCAGCTAAAATAAACATTAAAATTTTGTTTAAATTTATAGAATTCTCGAGAATTTTCAAGGTCACTGCCAAATCTGTTGCTGTTTTAATAATCGTTAATAAAAGATGTCCCTATAACTGTCATATGTGTATGCAAATGTTAAACAAATCGAGTTTGAAGAGAATCGAACCCGCGACCTCAAAAGAGGCGATCTCTGACCACTCGATCATAGATCCCTGCCACTCAGACTTCGAGGTACTTATCTCACTTCGGTCATCTGTCATACACAAACAACCAGTTTCACTGCGAGCCCTATGTTCAAAGCCATATCTACACCAATCTACACTTACAACCTTGGTAGGAGATTCGATAATTACCTGTCAATACAAAATCTGGAGAGATCAGTGATCCACCACAAAGCCATTCGACTGATCTGTCTTTTTGATAACCTAAAAGACCTTGGTGTGGAAATTCATGCAGTTTCGCTTCTTCTCCTCCTAATAAAGATATTTTTAATATCGATTCATTTCATTTAAGTTTGAAAGTTTTATACCAACAACCAACGATGTTGGTTTATGCTTGCACTTAGTTTTAATGACTACTTCTTGAAATTCATTAATTAATAAAAGTGATGGCATCCTTGCTATTTCTACAGCATTTCTTCCATATTCTCTGCACTCTAAAGAACAAGACTTAAATTATATTTCACAAATTTACATCCAAATTCAAAAATGTTCATACTTTTGGCACTGATTCTTGGGCAACAAACAAGTCTTTTTGCATGATCACAAATCGGAATGTCTTGAGCCGAAATGGTTTTTTGTCTATACTGTGTCAGAAGTGACTGGCATGATCTAATGTCTACACATTTACCAAATGATCCATCTTTAAATAAACACGGAACCGAATCATCACATTTTGCAATAAAAAACAGCATCAAAAATGATAAAATTAAGACTTTCATCATGAATAAACAGTAAACAACTGAATTGCTTAATACCGACTAAGTTGTACTTTAGAAATGACATGAGAAATGAGAGATAAAGAATGACAATAATTCTCAAAAATCATGATGAGTTATTTCCAGTTTGCATGTTCTCATTTATTTTTGATAGGAGCATCTGAAGAAATGTAAATAAAAACAAATTTTTGCCAAGGGGCAGAGACTCTGAAAATTGAAAGTAGTTAACTTAGATTGAGAGTTTAAAAGCCTTAGATTTGAATCTAGTTTTGCATTTATTTTTATCACAAATATTAAGCATTTTATAGCATTTACTATCAATAAATTATTATCTATATAAAAATTTTTCTAGACGTTGAAATATCAGTAAGTTTGTCATACTTCATCTTTCCAAACGATTCCTTCAATCCAATCTAGGAATTTATAGACATTAGTATAACCACCTATGAAGAAATTGGACGGAATCTCAAAAATTCATACACAAATCTATAAAATAAAATTTACCAGGTGCGCCAGGTAATCCACAACTATCAAGTCCAATACTAACAATTCCAATTATTGTATACGTACAATTTACTTGATCATGATTTGAAACTTGAAGAGGTCCACCTAAAAATTGAAATGCAGTTCTGAAAAATGCCAGTTCAATCAAATTCGCTAAACTAACCTGAATCACCCTGAAAATTAATTTCAAATATTTAGCAAAGCTTTAAATAATTCATAAAATTTCAAACTTACAGCACAAGCGTCTTTACTTTCTGTCCGATGTCCATAACACAGCATTGTTTCTTGATTGTATCTTCTTTCATAAATGTCTTTGCAAATCTGTTGATCGAACCTTTCAATCCCAACCTTCAATAATTTCTGTGATTGAACTCCTTTTCCAGTATGTCCAAAGCCAGTCACAATTGCATTGTCATTGTAAAAAGGTCTTGTTGGCAGGCAAGCTGCAAAAACAAATTCATTCATTTTGACTGAACTTTGAAGTCTTAGAAGGGCAATGTCAATGTGGCTTGTAGAGAAATCGCCTCTTGGATGTCTGAAAGTTTTTTCTACTGTATGAAGAACTGTTTTATTTCCATCAAAACCAAGATCATGCATACCGAGTTTAACATACTTTATAACTCCAAGTTGGTCCAAATTAATGCAGTGAGCAGCTGTAATTAAATGTAATTTATAGTTTTATAGCATTCTCAGGAATTTTCAAGGTCACATATGAAGTCGTTATCTGTAACAACTTGATGCCTTTGATAATCTGAATTGTGAATGTATATTTTTTTGTAAAGTCAATAAAAATCTCTAGACTCTTGAAAAGCTTCTAATTTCTTACCTGTCAATACAAAATCAGGAGAGATCAATGATCCACCACACAACCATTGGATTGTCTCATTTTTTTGGAACCCTAAAAGAGCTTGGTGTGGAAATTCATGTAGTTTTGCTTCTTCTCCACCTATAAAGTCAACCAAGATATTCAAAGTTCTATTTATTTCAATAAAATGAAAAACTTTCAATACCAACTATTAACGATGCAGGAATATGCGAGCACTTAGTTTTAATGACTATTTCGTGAAATTCATCAATTAATAAAAGTGATGGGATCCTTGCTATCTCTAAAGCATTTCTTCCATACTCTTTGCACTCTATAAAACAAGGCTTAAATTGCTTTTCATAGATTTTATATCCAAACTTAAATCATACTTTTTGCACTGATCCTTGAACAACAAACAAGTCTCCTAACGGGATCACAAATTGGAATGTCTTCACGTTTTAAAGTTCCTTGTCTGAACGGTATCAATAATTCACTGCAAGATGCAATATCTACACATTTACCAAATGATCCATCTTTAAATAAACATGGAATCGTATAGTCAGACTTAGCTGAACAAAATAGCAGCAGAAATGAAAATATTGAGGCCTTCATTGTGTGCTGTTGAAATACTACTGAATTATCACTGAGCTCTTTTATAAAAACTCTTTGAGAGGTTCAAACTTTGAGAAAAGAGAAATAATTGCTCTGTTTTTGTTTTTATTTTTATTTTGCATACTGTCATACATACAAGATCAATTACCGAACATATTGAACTTAAGCTAGACTTATTTTGCTTATTCATCATCTTTCCAGACGATTCCTTCAATCCAGCTTAGGTAGTGATAGACGTTGACATATCCGCCTAGAAATAAGTTTAATGAATTGTCAGAAATGTGTAAAGGAATGGGAGGGAGTGGGAATAACCCTAATGAGCCCCGCAACCCCACAACATCAAAAAAAAAACAAAATCTTACTAGCAATTCCAATTTGTGCACACTTTGCTGGACCAAAACTTATTATTCCAATTTGAGTATAAGTGCAGTGCACTCTCTCTTCATTAGAGACTTGAAGTGGACCACCTAAATTAAGGATGCTGTGATATTTCTCAATCTGACCTGAAAATGATGCGAGAACTTACCTGAATCGCCCTAGAAAATTAAGAACAACATTTTATATTTACCAAGCAACTATTCTTTCTCTAATCTTACCCTACAAGAATCCCTGTTTTCAGTATGATGTCCATAACATACCATCGTCTGATCATCAATCCTCACAGTACTATCTTCACCCCATGAACTTTGACATTCAGAATGATTGAATTTTTCTAAAGTTACTTTTATTAAAACATCTGATTGCTGCTGATGTCGGGTTTTTCCAAATCCCGTTGCCATAGCTTTTAAGTCGTCATGTTGCTTGGTAGGCATACAAATTGGCAAAATGTGTTCGTCTAATGGAACTATCCCGTCTAATTTTAGGAGACCAATATCATTATTAAAAGCTCCTTTGATATAATTTGGATGTCTGAAATATTCTTCAACTCCAAACGTGTAAGTTTTGTCCTCATTCTGCACTCGATTATGCATTCCAAGTTTGACAAATTTTACTCGACCAAAATCAGCGTGGTTGAAGCAATGAGCAGCTTAAAAATAAAATTAACAACATGTAAGTCGCTATGTGAATTTTTAAACCCAATAAGCTCCCAAAATTAATGTTGGAACGTACCAGTCAAGACAAATCTAGTAGAAACCAATGAGCCACCGCAGTTCCATTCAATTGAGATTCCATTTAGGTAGCCTAAAAGTGCTTGATGTGGAAATTCATTCTTACTCGCCTCAGTTCCACCTACAACAAAATACCTCAATAAGAATTGACAGTTTTGTATCTTATGATAAACTTTGATCGACGACTGAGGAAGGATTTATGTTACCAAAGAAGACAACATCGTGATGGACAATTTCTATCCTATTTGTAATCATACTGCTTTCCTCTTGGTTCATCTTCTTACCAATAATTAAAGATACAGCTTTATGCTGGCATTTACTTGTTGTTGTTACATGTCCTTCCTCATGGATGACTAATGATGAGACTATTACTTTTTGCAATACCTTTTCACCATACTCTTTGCATTCTGTTGAAGAGAACAATTTCCCATTAAACACTAGTTTGTACTAAGTATGATCACAAGCTGTTGCTCTGCAAACATTCATCTGCTCATAATGCAAGGTCAAGTAGTTTGCAATTTGTTGATAACTTTTGGCGAATTATTGTCTGTTACTATTAGTAAATATTTACTTACTTCTCTCACTAATCCTATTTTCTTGATTAACGTTTGTGAATACTGGCGCGTACGTTATTTCTTCTACATCTGGTGGCAATGGACAGCAGAGAAACCGCTTTAGCTTATTACATATTGTTACTTGATTACGATTAATTGCTCGAGTGACTAAAAGATTTCTTATCTCCGGACAACCTGAAATCTCTATACAAGTTCCTGATGTTCCATTTTTAAGGTGGCACAGTGCCCCATTCGGTAAATCAGAACTAGCGAAATTTAAAATAGCAAAAAACATAAAAATAATATTTATTATAGAACTTTTCATTGCGAATGACTGTAAGCAAATGAGGAATTGATAAGGTCTGTTATTTTAAGAGAATAATCCAATATAAAGAGAATCTAGAGTTAAATTTGTGAATGTATAAAAATAAACTTGTTTTTTTATTCTTCATTTCAAAAATATTTGCTTGCAATAGCTTCCGTGCCATCAAGTCGTTGATTTTATTATTCAATTATTCGTCATCATCCCAAACAATGTTTTCAATCCAATCAAGGTAGTTGTAAATGTTAGTATAGCTACCTGAAAAAAGTAGAATTAAAATTGAAATTAACTTAATTTGTGGCCGTTCATAAGTAAAGGGGAACTGTGCCTTGGCTTTAGCTTCCAATTTTAACAAGGACCCTGTCAGGATTATGGTGTCTACTAATTCTCATATTTTTCACGGACCACAGTTATGAACGACTCCTTAATCTACACAAAATTTTTAAACCTTACTTGGAGTGTTGATTTGTGCGCAAGTTGCTTGTCCAAAACTTGAAATTCCAATTAGCGTATAAGTACAGTGAACATTATCCTCATTAGAAATTTGGAGTGGACCACCTAAATGCGAATGATTTAATTATTCTTCGAACCTAATCGCAACTTGAAATTCACTTACCTGAATCGCCCTGTTGAATAAAAAAATAATAATAAATAATTAAACTAAATGAAGCTGTCGATATCTGTTGATTTGATCCTTACCCTACATGTATCCTTCCGTTCCCTATGATGTCCATAACATAACATGGTTTGTTCATCAAATTGTACTATTCCATCTTCGGGAAATGCCGCTTTACAATCAGTAGGAAGAAAGCTCTCAAGTGTAACTTTCAACAAAACTTCTGATTGTTGTCCATATGTTTGAGTTACTCCAAAACCAGTAGCCAAAACTTTTTCGGCTTCATATTGCATTGTTGGTAAGCAAATGGGCAATATATGTTCATCAATAGGGACTGTTCCATCTAGTTTCAGAAGTGCTATATCTTCATTGAATGTTTGTTCATTATAATTTTGATGCTTAAAAGTTTTTTTAATGTTGTAAACAAAGACTTTTCTGTTGTCATGTTCTTGATCTTTATATCTCATTCCTACTTTGACCTTTTGGACATGTCCTTTCTGCCTTTCAAAGAGACAATGAGCAGCTACAATTTTATGAGAATCGAACTTCAAATATTAAAAGATAAAACTTGTTAACTCATTAATCACCAGTAATGACAAATGTCGCAGACACTAGAGATCCACCACATAACCATTCTACTCAGGGGCGTAGCCAGGGGGGGGCCATAGGGGGCCCGGGCCCCCCCTACGAAAATCTGATAATTGTTTTATTAAGTATTTATAGAGAGGAACCAGTTAATGTAGAGGAAGTGATGAAAGAAATGTCAAAATCAGCACGAAAAATTAAATTTAATGTATGAGTAATGAATTAAATATTTAAACTTATGAAGAATGAATATAGATTTAAGGATACAAAATAACGGTTTTTAAATTTTCGAAAATGGGCCCCCCCTTAAAAATTTTCTGGCTACGCCCCTGATTCTACTGTATTTCTTGGAGAATAACCTAAAAGAGCCTGATGTGGAAACTCATCCATAACTGCCGCGGTTCCACCTTTAAGAAAAATCAATGTGTAATTTACAAAAAAAAATATAATTTGTCCTAACATCAGTGGTTCTCAAAATGTGAAGCATATGTGCATCGAAATTGTTTAAATTTAACCAATAAATTGTCGAAATTAAAAAAACTTTTGAGAAACACTGACTTATATGCTATCCTACCAACAATAAGTGGAGTTGATTTATGGGTGCACTTGCTGTTTCTTCTTTCTAGCGGTGTTTGACCTGGCAATGGTGCTATTAATGTTGTATGCCACACTTTTTTTGCATATTCCTTGCATTCTAGAAAACAGGAAGAACAAAATGATTTAGAAGACGATGTTTTGGTTAAATAGAAGCAAAGTTACAAAGGTGCTTATTGCAATTTCGCAACAAATTTTCCCAGTCGTGACTCTTAAAGTAATCTACATGATTAATTGCATAGTAATGAGAAACTAATACAAGATTAATCCCAATAATAATTTCAATTTCCTTACTTATTTGACTGATTCTCTCCTGATCTCTATTAAAATGTCTTCTAGTTGACGCCTGTGTGGTGGGAGGTTCAGTTGTTGTAGTGGTTTTAGGTCTTCTTTGTCTTGTTGGTCTAGTTACTCTTACTGTCGTTTTGACTTCATCGAATTGAGGTGTTCTCGTCCTATGTGTAGAAGTCTCATCATCTAAAGAAATTGGGCAGCAAATGAGCCTTTTAACTATATCACAATCTGTTACATGAGCACGAGAAATAGCTTTTTTCTCCCATAATTCTTTAACTATCGAGCAATCGTTCCACTGCTGACAAGTTCCTCTCGCACCGCTTTTAAGTTCACATGATTTTCCAACGTAAAAATTTGATGAAATTGAGTCTTTAAAATTTAATAAAATTAAAAAAATGATTTTATTAAAAGTTAAACTTCTCATTCTGAATAAACAAATTAAACTGAATTGTTGATAAGGTATGGAAAAAAATTATTAGAACTGATTGAGAGTCAGTTGCTGAATATCAAGAGAATTTGAGAGTTGATTTTTTGTTTGTATGAAAATATTTTTTATTAATTTTCCTTTTGGAGTTCCTGGGAAACCCCAGAATCATTAAAACCTTATCTCATCATGATTAATAATTGATGTTAAGCCTCATCGTTCCAGACTATTCCTTCAATCCAGTCAAGATAGTTGAAAACATTAGTATAGATGCCTAGGAAAAATAGTAAAATTTTGAAAGTTATTAACTTGTAATGATCAGGGACATGACAAAGGTTTAATCGCTTGCATGGGGTTTTGCATGTGATTTGGCACCAATTTTAATGACAAAAGTTTAATTTTTTAAATTTTTTAGACCTAATTCCCATTGCTGCGCCCCTGGATATGATTTATATAAAACCTTACTTGGAGTTTTTAATCTTGCACAAGTTGCGAGTCCAATACTTTCAATTCCAATCAGCGTATAAGTACAGTGAACATTGTTTTCATTAGAAATCTGGAGTGGATTACCTAAATTTGAATTAAATTATTTATAAAAGTTACTTTTATGACTTGCAAGTTCACTTACCTGAATCGCCCTGAAAATATTTTAAAAAAATCTTTTATCTAATAAGGCTGACAATTGGGAATATTATTAGATCCTTACCCTGCACGTATCCATGTTTTCGATGCGATGTCCATAACACAACATGGTTTTCTCATCAATTAGCATATTGCCATCATCCGGATAGAAGTTCTTACATTCGGTATGAGTAAATCTTTCAAGCGTAGCTTTCATCAAAATTTCTGATTGTTTTCCATATGTGTGACTCCTTATAATTGCCATAGCTTTAAAATCATTATGTTGCTTGGTCGGCAAGCAAATAGGCAAAATGTTTTCATTTATAGAGACTGTCCCATCTAGTTTCAAAAGTGCTATATCTTCATTAAATGTTCGTTCATTGTAATTTGGATGCTTAAATGTTTCTTTAATGTTGTAAACGAAGACTTTTTCGTTGTCATGTTCTTGGTCTTTATATTTCATACCTACTTTGACTTTTTGGACATGTCCAAATTGCCTTGAAGAGAGGCAATGAGCAACTAGAATTTTATGAGAATCATACTTCAGAAATCAAAATATTTGCTTTTAAACTCAACAATTACCAGTCAAAACAAATTTCGGAGACACTAGAGATCCACCACATAACCATTTTATTTCTGTATTTCTTGGTGAATAACCTAAAAGAGCTTGATGTGGTAACTCATTCACTGCGGTTTCTGTTCCACGTTTAGAAAGATTAAAGTGTGATTAGCATATCAGATTAGTTTTTGTTATATTACATCTTACCAATAAATGAAATTTTATTTTGAGTGCACTTGCTGGTTCTGACTTCTCGTGCTTCTTTCCCACCAAACATTGGTGGTATTTTTGTTATTTGAAACACTTTCTTCCCATATTCCTTGCATTCTAGAATAAGCAATGATTACATTTAATAGAAGTGAACAAAAATACAAGTTAAAATAAATATTAAATGCACAAATTTTTACAACAAATTTTCCCAGTCATGACCCTTGAAGTAATCTACATATTTATTTACACATTAATGCAAACGGAAATAATTTTTATTTTCCTTACTTTTTTGACTGATTCTCTCCTGATTTTCAATGGTTGTCTGAGTACTTGGTCTTGTTTTTCCTTCTGTAGATATGCCTTCATCAAATTTAGATGTTGTTGTTCTGTGTGTAGCAGTCCTATCATCCAAAGCAAATGGGCAGCAAATAGTCTGTTGCAATTCGTTACATTTCGTTAAATGAGCACGAGTAATAGCTCCTTTTTCCCATAGATCTTTAATTATCGAACAATCGTTCAACTCCTGACAAGTTCCATTAGCACCACTTTTAAGAATGCATGGAGATCCAATGGAAAGCAAAGACGAACTTGAGAACTTAAAATTGCTCAATAAAATTAGCTTAAAGACGATTTTAAGAATTGAACTTCTCATTGTGAATGAATGAATTAAACTGAAATGTCGACGAGATATTGAATATAATATAGAACTGATTGAGAATTATTTGCTGATGCTGAGCTGATTTTTGTTTGAATAAAAATATGTTTTTATTTTTTTTTTCCATTGGAAACCCCAAAATCATTAAAATCTTATCTCATCGTGATTACTAATTGATATTAAACTTCATTGTCCCAGACTATTCCTTCAATCCAGTTAAGATAGTTAAATACATTAGTAAAGCTACCTGCAACAAAATAAAAAAAAATTGGAATTTTGTAACGCGATATAATCATACAATCCTACTTGGAAGATTAATAGTTCCGCATCTGCTAGGTCCAAAACTTGCAATTCCGATTTGAGTGTATGTGCAATGAACATTGTTATCATTAGAAATTTGAAGAGGTCCACCTTAAAAAAAGAAAATTAATTATTAGCCTAAATCCGTGTTGTCCAAACTGCGTGCCGCGACACCCTTAAAGTGTGCCGTGGCTCAAAATGTTTGGACAACACTGGCCCAATTTATAAAAATGTCTTCAAAAACTTACCAGAATCGCCCTGAGAATTTAGAATTGATGTCTTAATTAATGTAAATTTCAATAATCAATATCATCCAGAGTTGGCAAGCAGGTGTCAAATTTATACTAATCCCTTAAAAATTGTCACAGTCATCGGTCGCTAGCAATCATAAATTAACCAAAAACAGCAGATTGCCAACTCTAGTTTCATTCTTACCCTACAAATATCCATTCTCTGACTGTGATGTCCAAAGCACAGCATAGTTTCTTCATCAATTTGAACTATTCCATCATCAGGATATGACTCCTTACATTCAGAATGTGTAAAACTCTCAAGTGCTACTTTCAACAAAACTTCTGATTGTTGTCCATATGTTTGAGTTCTTCCAAATCCTGTTGCAATTGCTTTAAAGTCATCATATTGCTTAGTCGGCAAGCAAATAGGCAAAATGTTTTCATTTATAGGGACTGTCCCATCTAGTTTCAGAAGTGCTATATCTTCATTGAATGTTTGTTCATTATAATTTTGATGCTTGAATGTTTCTTTAATGTTGTAAATAAAGACATTTCTGTTGTCATCCTCTTGATCTTTATATTTCATTCCTACTTTGACTTTTTGGACGTGTCCAATTTGCCTTGAAAAGAGGCAATGAGCAGCTAGTATTTTATGAAAATCGTACTTTAGATATTAAAAATTTTAAACTTATGAACTAAATAGCTACCAGTCAACACAAAATTCGGAGACACTAGAGATCCACCACATAACCATTTTACTTCTGTATTTTCTGTCGCATAACCTAAAAGAGCTTGATGAGGGAACTCATGGTTTTCTGCTTCTGTGCCGCCTTAATTTAAAAATAAAACCTTTATCTAGATGTGATAATGGCAATCATTTATTAACTTACCAATAATTAAAGAAATCGATTTATGGGTGCACATACTTCTTCTTATTTCGTGTGGTTGTTGACCAATCAAAGATCCAATTTTTACTATACGAAAAACTTTTTCACCATACTCTTTACATTCTGATGAAGAAAATTATGTTTTACTTTACAAACCTTCTCTTAGATCAGCTACATCTATGTCATTAAATTCCCTTACTATTGCTAGAACCCCGTAACCTCCTTTTTAATATTACCCGAATAGCACAAGTTGGTAAATCGAATAGAAATCCGGCACCAAGCTTGCATGACTCTGACATGATGCAAGTTTCGATTTAAATGCAGCACAATGCCAGAGTCACACTGGCTTGGTGCCGGATTTCTGATCGATTAACCGACTTGTGCCATTCGGGTTAAGGTCACATTTTGATAGTCAATTACTCACTTTTCTGACTTATTTTCTCTTCCGTTGGACAGCAAATAATCTTTTTAGCGCGACTGCATATTGTCAATTGATCACGAGTAATAGCTTTATCTTTCCATAATTGCTTGATTTTTTGACATTCATTAAAATGCATACACATTCCAGGCAAACCATTGTAAAAAGATGAATTAGCCTTAAGAGTGCAGGTTTCTCCTTCATCCAAATCACAAGACACGAAGTAAAAGTTTAGGAACAAAAATATGAAAAAGTTAATTTTTGAACTTTTCATCACGAATGTCTGAAATAAACTGAAAATAATTCGTCTGTGTGAAAAAACAAATTGATATGAAATTTGACTTATTGACATCAAGAAGAATCATTTTAAATTGGGACAATTTTATTTTATTATTATTTATCATTTGCATCAAATCTTCTTTCTTATCATGAACTTTATTACGTCATTTATCGTTCTCAGAAGTGGGAATTCCTTCTCTTTTGATAATTTCGGCCTTGACTTTCCAAAGTCAGCATATGTTGTGTTATCAGTCGGACATTCACCTCTAAAATCGTCTGTGTCTATTGACCATGCCCACACCCCTAGTAAATCCTTATCCATTGCATATTTTACTTTATTCGCAACTGATCGTGGTGTGTCATAGACAGCAACGTGAGTTGTTCCATTTTCTTTGAACTTTCCAATCATTTGTGATGCGAATCTGTCAAACTTATAAGTCCATTTTTTTTTGGTTCTGCATGCGACAAATTTCATTGTAGCCAACCATAAAATTACTTTGAATGATCGGGCTTGGAAAGCCTTCTTGTTCACAGTCATCTCCAATGTAGCCATCAGTGTTAGTTTTGAATGTTTGAGAAGCAAACGGAATTCCTAAAATAATTTTGTTTTTTGGAACATTCTGATCTAAAAAGGAATTTATAGCTGAATCAATATCATCTGCCTGTAACTTTGCTTGTATTGGAGCTGTAAACCCAATTCTTCTATCCCAACTAGTAGCATACTCGAATGTCATCATATTTATTGCATCCACATGCATTGCAATCTCTTCAAGATGATAAGCAAGTTTTACCATCCAATCTTTTGTCCGTAATGTGACACTCAAGTACAAATTGTTTTCACGGTAAACTTTCGACATTTCCTTCAGAAGAAGTGGAAAATTCTCTTTGTCTTCTTTAGTGCCACCTCTTTCAGGATCACCAGGAAAATCCCAAAGTAAATTCAAACCATCAAATTCAAACTGCTTCAAAAATTCTGCAGATTGTGTTGCAAATTCCTTCCTAAATGTCAGATTTGCGGCTAGTTTTGAGTACTTTTCAACGCCTTCATTCCATCCACCGACACACAACAAAGTTCTCAGATGTGGATGTGATTTCTTTAAGGTTGTAAATCGTCTATATCCATTTAAGCCACCGTCATCACCTAAATCAGCCCATGGATCAAGTGACTTGAGATGAAAATTGTCATCCATTCCAGCAAAATAGTAAACAGCAGTTGTGCAAAGTTCAGGGTCAAATGTGTCAACTGTGAATCTTCCACCGTCCTTTCTATAAATAGCCCAACTAGCTATGTAGCATACAATCTCTTTACCATGTGCTATTGGTTCTTGATTAACTGATTCTTCTTCAAACTGTTGTATTGATGTTGGTGCTTTCTCGTCTATCCAATTTGAGAATTTTAAGACGTTTGTAAAGACGGTGTCAGCTGAAGTATCGCAAGTACTATTCACATGAAAGAATGAAGCCGATATAATTCCTTTTAAGTACCATCGCTCCTCAACTTCCACAAAAAGTCCATTTCCACTATCACCACTACACGCAGCTGAATATTCATCTCTGCCAGCACAGAATGTGTTTGGTGACGAGATGTAAGCAAATCTTGGACCTTTCAAGAAGCATTGTTCATTTGTGATGATTTTTACTTCCAATTCTCGTGGAATCACTTCATGTGGTGCATCTCTTTCTGACTTTCCATATCCAGCAATATTTCCAAAATGTACAGGAAGTTCATCATTAGATTTCCATAAACAAATTGGACTGATCACATCACTAAATGTCACTGGTGCACTAAGCTTAATAATAGCAATGTCTGAATCATAGTCTCGAGTGAAGAACTTCCAGTTTGAATGGAAGCTCCTCTCTCATAAGGCAATGATAGATTGTATCTTCCTAGCTTGACAACAATTTCATTTGGAGTTATTGGAACTTTTTGGTCTTTGTCTTGCATACAGTGTGCAGCCTAATAATAATCAATAACTTAGAATTTTGAATGTTTGCATATCAAAGGTCAGAACTTACTGTGATAACTGCATTGGAACTGATTAGAGTTCCTCAACAAAACAAGTCATTGGTCTGGAATCTGTATAAGGTTACTAGCCAAGGCCAAGCACCTCTTACTGATTGAGTACCATTAATAACTAAGCTGACTGGTCTCCCAGAGCTTCCACATGGATAATATTGATCATTTGCTTGTGCTGCAAGGCAATATAAATTATTTTTTGTGAAGTCATTTCCATTTTTATGTGGAATGTCTTTAGATTCTTACTGTATCATCTTACGATGATGAACAACATTATCATTTGGATATCTTGTTATAATTTTTTTATGATTCAACTTACGTCCTTCATTCTTTCGTTCGTGACTTAAATTATCTTCTTCAAAAATTGATAGTGTGGTTGTTGACACCTCTGCTGTTGTTGATTCTGTTAATCTAAACGTTTCCAACGATTCTTGTATCGTTCCTTGAAAAACTTCAGCTCCTGGTGTTGTGCTAGTTAATAATTCTTCCTCAAACGAATGGAATGGACAGCAGAGGTACCTCAAGTCAGCATTACAAATTGTTATATCACTCCGACTAATTTTTCCATCAGCCAAAAGTGATCTTAATTTAGAAAAACTTGAAATATCAACGCAAGTTCCAAAAATCCCACTTTTAACGGTGCATGGCGATCCATGTGACTGACTTGAAAAAACTGAACCAAAACTAATGTTTATTAAAATGAAAACTTTCAAAATCGATCTTTTAATGTCGAGTGACTGAAAACAACTAAGAACCTGATAATTAATAATAAAAAAAATTTAAAGTTTCGACAAAAATAATGAGCTTCCGTGCTGCTTCTTGGTTTGAGTTTAGAAATCATTTATTCAGAGAAAATTTTTTAAAACTTAATGGATATAACTTGAATAGTACCTACGATATATACGAAATCCTCAGCACGATGCTAGGACGATTTAGGTCGTAATGTAATTTATTCGACTTATGCTACTCGGGTTACATTGATTCTATTTAAAAAAACTACTTTATGAATTAGTATTAATAACAGTTTAAATATAAAGCTTTATTAAAAGCAAGCAAGAACCGGTTTGATGATAAGCATTTCAATGTTTTTTTTTCGGATCATCTCGATTATTGGCAACATCTTTGTGATATTGACTAGCTTTTATATCCATAATCCATAAAAACATCACTTCCTCTTTTTATTCATGAACTTCATCACTTCATTAATAGTCCTCAAAAGTGGAAATTCCTTCTTTGTCGGCAATTTCGGTTTTGAACCTCTAAAGTCAGCATATGTTGTGTTATCAGTCGGGCATTCACTTATAAAATCATCTGTGTCTATTGACCATGCGTATACACCGAGTAAGTTCATCTCCATTGCATATTTTACCTTATTTGCAACTGATCGTGGTGTGTCGTAAACAGCAACGTGAGTTGTTCCATTTTCTTTGAACTTTCCAATCATTTGTGATGCTAGTCTTTCAAATTTGTATGTCCATTGCTTTTGACTCTGCATGCGACAAATTTCATTGTAGCCGATCATATAATTGCTTTTTAAGATTGGACCTGAAAAGCCTTCCTGTTCACAGTCATCTCCAATTGAGCCATTCAAATGAGTTTTGAATGTTTGAGCATAAAATGGAATTCCCATAATAATTTTATTTTTTGGAACTTTCTGTTCTATGAAAAAATTCACAGCTGAATCAATGTCATTTTCTTGAAGATTTACTTGCAGTGGAGCTGTTAATCCAATTTTTCTGTCCCAGTTCCCAGCGTACTCAAATGTCATCATGTTTATAGCATCTACATATTTTGAGATTTCCTCAAGGTCATATGCTAGTTTCACTATCCAATCCTTCGTCCGTAATATCACACTCAGGTACAAATTTTGCTGGCGATAAATCTTGGAAAGTTCCTTTAATAATTTCGGAAAATTCTCTTTGTCTGCTTGAGTTCCACCTCTTTCAGAGTCACCAGGAAAATCCCAAAAGAAGCTTAATCCATCAAATCCATATTGTTTTAAAAATTTTGCTGACTGAATTGAAAATTCTTCTCTCAAATTTGCATTTGCTGCTAATTTTGAGTACTTTTCTACGCCTTCAGTCCATCCACCAACACATAACAAAACTCTTAAGTGTGGATGTGATTTCTTTAAGGTTGTAAATCGTCTGTATCCATTTAAGCCACCGTCATCACCTAAGTCAGCCCATGGATCTAAAGATTTCAATTTAAAGTTCTCATCCAGTCCAGCATAATAATATACCAAAGTCGTGCAAAGTTCAGGATCAAATGTGTCAACTGTGAATCTTCCTCCTTCTTTCCGATAAATAGCCCAACTAGCTACGTAGCAAACGATCTCTTTTCCATGAGATGTCGTTTCCTGATTTATAGAATCTTCTTCAACCTGTTGAACTGTTGTTGGTGCTTTTTCTTCAATCCACTTTGAGAATTTTAAGACATTCGTGAAAAGTGTATCAGCTGTTTTATCACAAGTATTATTTACATCCAAGAATGATGCTGATATGATACCTTTTAAGTACCATCGTTCATTGACTTTTACAAAGAGTCCATTTCCACTATCGCCACTACAGGCTGCTGAATATTCATCTCTGCCAGCACAAAATGTGTTTGGTGACGAAATGTATGCAAACATTGGACCTTTTAAGAAACACTCTTCGTTTGATATGATTTTCACTTCCATTTCTCGTGGAATCACTTCATGTGGTGCATCACTCTCCGACTTTCCATATCCAGCAACATTCCCAGAATGAACAGGAAGATCATCATTAGATTTCCATAAACAAATTGGACTGATCACATCACTAAATGTCACTGGAGCACTAAGCTTAATAATAGCAACGTCTGAGTCGTAGTTTCGTGTGAAGTACTTCCAGTTTGGATGGATGAAAATGTCAAGTGCATAAGCATCAACTCCACCTCTTTCATAAGGCAATGATAGATTGTATCTTCCTAATTTTATAACAACTTCTTCTGGTGTTATTGGGATTTTCTGCTCTTTATCTTGCATGCAGTGTGCAGCCTAGACATATTCAACAAATTACAGTTTTGAATGTCAAAGTTAAACTTTGTTATTAAAAACTTTCACTTACTGTAATAACTGCATTGGAACTGATTAGAGTTCCTCCACAAAACAAGTCATTCGTTTGGAATTTGTGTAAAGTTACAAGCCAAGGCCAAGCTCCTCTACTTGATTGAGTACCGTTGATCACTAAGCTGACAGCTCGTGCTGAATTTCCACAAGGATAATTTTGAGCATTAATGCAGGACGTCCTATAAGGTTGATCTGAATCAACTGAATCATAGCAAATGGCAAATAGGACTGTAAAAATTAAATTCAAACTTCTCATCACGAATAAGCGAATACAACTAAGTTGTTGATAAGAAAATAATTTTCAATTGATGCTTTATAGCTTGGCTTTGACAAAATATGTGACAATAATCTGTAATCAGCTGTGTTGGCATATCAACGGAATTAAAATTATCTCATACAAAAGCTTTATTTATATTTTTAAATGTAATCACGTGTACACAAAGCAAATGTCATGACCTTTTTGTTATGATTTTTAAAAAAAAATTGTGGGAGAAGTTCAATTCCTTTTATTATTCATAAACTTGATCACATCATTAATCGTCCTGAGCAATGGAAAATCCTTCTTCGTCGTCAACTTCGGTCTTAATCCTCTAAAATCAGTATAAGTTGAAGTATCAATTGGACAATTGCCTCTAAAATCATCTGTATCAATTGACCAAGCCCATACACCTAGTAAGTCCTTCTCCATTGTATATTTGACTTTATTTGCCACAGATCGAGGAGTGTCATAGATAGCAACATGAGTTATTCCATTTTCTTTAAACCTTCCAATCATTTGTGAAGCAACTTTGTCAAACTCATAAGTCCATTCCTTCTGACTTTCCATAAGACAAATTTCATTGTAACCGACTAAAACACTACTTTGTATTATCGGACCTGGAAAGCCTTCTTGTTCACAGTCATCACCAATAAGTCCATTAGTGTCAGTGGTGTATGTTTGTGCTTGTAACATGATTCCGATAATCATTTTATTTTTTGGAACTTTTTGGTCAATAAAGAAATTGACAGCTGAGTCAATGTTATCACCTTGAAGATTTGATTTTAGTGCTGCTGGATATCCAATTTTCATATCCCAACTACTAGCATACTCAAATGTAATCATGTATATTGCATCAACATGCTTTGAGACTTCCTCAATGTCATAAGCAGAACTTACTATCCAGTCTTTCGTCCGCAGTGTAGCACTTAAGTAGAGATTCTGTTGGCGATAAACTTCTGAAATTTCTCTGAGTAAATGAGACAAATTTTCTTTATCTGCAGCCGTTCCACCTCTTCTTGTATCACCAGGAAAGTCCCAATAAAAATTGAGTCCATCAAAGCCAAATTCTTTCAAGAAAGTTGCTGACTGAGCTGCAAAGTTCTTCCTTAGAGTTTCATTAGATGCTAAATTTGAATAATTTTTAACGCCTTCATTCCATCCACCAACTGACAGCAACATTCTCAATTGTGGATGTGACTTCTTTAAATCTGTGAATTTTTTATAACCATTTAATCCATTGTCATCTGGAAGGTCTAGCCATGGATCCAATGACTGTAATTCAAAATTTTGATCAAGTCCAGCAAAGTGATAAATCGCAGTCGTGCACATTTTTGGATTAAATGAGTCAACTGTGAACTTGCCGCCTTTTTTGCGATAAACAGCCAAACTTGTGAAAGAACAGATGATCTCCTTATCATGTCGCACTAGGTCTTGACTTGTTAGTTCTTCTCTTGGTTCTACTCTTGGTTCTTCTTCAAATTGTTTTTCAATAGTCGGTGCTTTTTCTTCTATCCATTTTGAGAACTTCAAGATATTAGTAAACAGTGTGTTAGATGACGTGTCGCACGTATTGTTCATATGTATGAATGATGCTGATATAATTCCTCTCAAGTACCATCGGTCATTGACGTTTACAAAAAATCCATTGCCACTATCGCCACGGCATGCTGCTGAATATTCATCTCTACCAGCACAGAATGTTTTTGATGACGAGATGAATGCAAATTTTGGATCTTTTAAAAAGCAACCTTCATTTGAAATAATTTTCATATCCAATTCTCGAGGAATCATTTCATGTACAGTATTACTTTCCGACCTTCCATATCCAACAATTTTTCCAGCACTCACAGAAAGTGGATCATTCGATTTCCATAAGCATACTGGACTGATAACAGTACTGAACCTTACTGGGGCACTAAGCTTAATTATAGCTATATCTGAATCATATTCTCGTGTGAAGAACTTCCAGTTTGGATGAATAAAAATGTCAAGGGCATAAGCATCGACTGCGTCTCTTTCATAAAACTGTGACAAGTCATATCTTCCTAGCTTTACAACAAATTCATTTGGAGTTAATGGATATTTCTGTCCTTTGTCTTGCATGCAATGAGCAGCCTAGAGATAATAAAATTACATTATTTAATTTTCTACCAGTAAGCACACTTACTGTCACAACTGCATTGGCACTAATCAAAGTTCCACCACAAAACATAAAATTGTTTTGAAATCTGTGTAAAGTCAGTAACCATGGCCAAGCTCCTCTTTCTGATTGAGTTCCATTTACAATTAGACTGATCGATATTCCTGAACTTCCACAAGTATAATTTTTATTTTGATACTCTAGAATGTTTTAATTTTGATTCAGTTTAGGAAATTCCAGTAACTTATTTTTTATTGTGTCGGTAGCAATTGTGAGCTCTTGGACAATACTTTAGATTGAGAGATCAGTCTCTGTTGGGAATCAAACCTTCATCCTCATAAAATGGGTTAACAGATATCCTGTTTGTTGTCTAGCCACTCGGCTACAGATGTCTAGCTCTCACACTGGCAAATTCACCTACACATTGCTCGATACCCGATATTCCAATCTGCTCTGACACCCCACTACTACTCACCTATATCACTTAATTTTACTAGATCAATTTGACCTTCAGTGGTTGTTGAATCATCAGCATTAGTTATTGTTTGTGACTTTGATGTTATACTTTCCTGTGTCGTGTCCTCAGATTTCGAATATGGACAGCACATATACCTTGACAATTTATTGCAAACTTTAATTTGATCAGCAGTTATCAATTGGTTTCTCAAAAGTTTTGCGATAGATGGACAATGTGCGATATCAGCACAAAAACCTACTGCACCATCTTCGAGACTGCAAGTTGATCCGTAAGGTTGATTTGCATTTCCCAAAGTAGCGTTAAGGACGTAAAATAAAAGTACAAGTTTGAGAGTTAATCTTTTCATCTTGAATGAACAAAAACTACTGAAATCGATTAGGATTGACATTAAGTCATCAATAATTTTTATTTTATAATCAGGAAAGGGAAAAGTGTAAACAGATGCATGTAAAGTTAACCTAGACATTCATAAGTTTGATGCGTGTTTTTTTAATGATTGATTACTAATATTATTAGTCAGTGTTGTGCAAACTATGTTCCGTGGCCCTGAGAGTCCTTTCAATTGCCACATACATCAAAGAATCATTTAAAGGTTGTGGCATAAATCAAAAATAGTTTGGGCAACACTGTTTTAAGCTATACAAAATTTCGATCGCTCTCTCTTGAATGATGCTTAGTGCTCTCTATTCCTCATCCTGCCATACAATATTTTCAATCCAGTCGAGATAATGAAAGACATTAGCGTATACGCCTAAGAGAAATTGAAAAAGAAACTATTAGTTAAGAATGTTGGAATTTTTAATTGTAAGAATGTTATGAGGAAGAGGGAAGTCTCAAGACAGCTGAAGAACCCATATATAGCCCAATGAAGGAGATAAAAAATTGCTACTCAACTAATTAAGTGATATTTATTCACATCCTTCACTAAAATCACACCAATCCAGACCCTTCTTGACCCCTCAAATCATATATTTACCTGGTTTTCCAATCGTTCCACACATTTTTAGTCCAAAGCTTACAACTCCAATTTGAGTGTAAGTACATGGTACTTTCTTGTCATTTCTAATCTGAAGAGGTCCACCTGTAAGAAATTTTAGAAATTCTTATTAGATTATTCGTGTGAATTGTCAGTAAACTTACCAGAATCACCCTTAAAAAGATAAAAGAAAATAAATAATTAGCAAAAATATCCTGCATGTGTAGTTAAGTCTACGATTTACTTATTTACATCTCTCATTAAAAAAACAGAGAAAATTGCCCTCTCAATTGAGAACTAAGTTAAGCTTTATCAAAAGTCTGTCACATGGGAACTCCCACAATACAAAATAAAATTTCATACTTACACTACACGAATCTTTATTCTCCGAGTGATGTCCATAGCACAACATTGTATCATTCCTCACTCTAATTGATTTACCGAAGGCCTCCTGACATTCCTCATATTCAAATTTTTCCAGTCCAACTTTCAATAATATTTCTGACGACGACTCACCATAACCCGTTCTGCCAAAGCCAGAAGCTATTGCATTATAATTCTCATGAAGCATCGTTGGCATGCAAATTGGAAAAATTAATTCGTTAATGGTCACTGTTGCATTTAATCTCAATAAGCCAATGTCGTCATTGAAGGTTTTAGTGCTGTAAGTTGGATGTTGGAATATTTCTTGAACGCCATAAATAAAAACTTTATCGTCATTTTGAGCTCGACTGTGCATGCCAAGTTTAACGAATTTGACGGCACCGTAGCTTCGGGGGTAGAGACAATGAGCGGCTAAAAGTATTATTTTTTTTAAAAATTGAAGATTAATTGGCAAGTTTGGATTGACAGGGGAATTAATGGGAGATGGATGTGGATGGTGTGGTATTAAGTGCTGCTCACCAGTAAGGACGAATTTTGGAGATATTAAAGAGCCGCCACATCCCCATTCACCAGGATCACCATCATTGTAGCCTAATAATGCTTGATGTGGAAATTCGTACAGATCAGCTTCAGTTCCACCTGTAATCATTAAAATTTCTTTAGTTTTCTACGAGAAAATAAATAAGGTCAATAACTGAAAGCAACACAACAAAATTGCTGATTTATCAAACTTCCTAGACTCTATAGCCATCAATAAAATTCATTGCTGCAAAATCGTGTTATAAACTTAAATTTCAGCAATAAATTCAGCTTCATTATTCATTATTTCATCTCATGTTATCTATTTAAACAGTTTCCAAAAAATCTTTGCATGCAGCACACAATAACAGTTCAGAACTTTTTATAAACATGCATCCTGAACATCCACTTGACTCTGCTGAGTTTGTTGTTTTTTGACTATGTATATAAACAAAATAAAACTTTTTATTTACCAACAATCAACGGGACTGATTTATGCTTGCATTTGTCTATTATTACTTCATTTTGCTGCTCTCCGATGAGAAGAGATTGAACAAAGATTTTTTGAACTGTGGCTCTTGCATATTCTCGACATTCTGTGGAATAAAAAAATATCTAATTAAAATTTGAATTTTGAACGTTTTTTTAAAAATTTTGATTTTTAATGTGTTCATCAAATTTAAATTTTCAACGTTTTTTAAAACTTGATATTTTAACGTATATTAAAAATTTAAAATTTTAACGTATTTTTAAAATTTGAATTTTAAGCGTATTTTTAAATCTTGAATAAAGTTTTTTTTAAATTTTGAATTTTTTAAACTTGAAAAATTTTCAAAATAACTCAAATATTGATAATAATCAAGTCCATTAAAACTACACGACTGAACAAAGAACACCAAAAGACTCTCTCAAAAAAAAATAACTTCAACCGGAAATACACCAGATTTAGCCACATGATTCAATTATTTACGGATATCTTCATATCTTCTTCAACTTAAAGTCTCCATTGTTCCTTACTCTTTTCACTTATTCTCATCGGATGATTTGTTGTCGTTGAGGACGTGCTAGTGATTGTTGTTGGTACAGCAACCGGACAACACACAGTTCTAGCAGTTTGACTACAAACTGTTGGTGGATTCGAACGAATTTGTCCAGATCTTATAATGTCCATGACTGGTTTGCAGTCATTGATTTTTAAACAAATTCCTAAAGTGTTGTCTTTCTGACGACATCGCTGACCTAATATTAAGTCAGCAGTTACAGTTTCACAGTAAATAATAGTTATAATGATAATTTTTAAGCAGCTAGCTATCATTGTGGACGATGGAAAGGAACTAAGTTTGTGATTGAATACTTTTTTTAAGCAGCTGTTGAGTTAGGAATTGTGATAAGATGAAAAATTATTAAAATGAGAGAATTTATCGTAATAATGTGATAGTGTGCATAGAAGCTAGATATATAGTCAGTGCTAGTCGTTGACAATTTATGTCAATGACTTATGATAGTGTTGTAGCTTTACAGCTAGTTAATGGTCATAAATAGGTAACCTACTTGCATATTCATAAGTAGGTTGCCTCACTACCGATAAAATATCTGCGATATGCAAAAATTCCAGATGTTCAATTCCTAAAACACTGTGTTCCCCCTTTTATTAAAAACTATTTAAGAAGCTATAAAAAAACAGCACAAAAAATAGCAAACGAGGTTAATTAAAATAAACACATCAAAAAAAACCCAAAAAAGTGAACAAAAGGAATTTTTTCTGTGGGAAATCCAAAAAATTCCCATGGACTTTATGTTAAAAAATAAAAAAAAATTCTCTCAAGTGCATTTCTTAATTCTTCCCTTTTTTTCGGAAGGCATCGGCATTGACAGAAGCACAAAATAATAAAGAGAAGATGATAATTCGTATTAATAATGCGGAGGTAAAACGAGCATTCATTCATTCATTCATATACTAATAGTGCATCGGTATCCCATATGTTATTCTTTCTCTTTCTTTATTCCCTTTTGCGGGGAATATAAATAATGTTCAATATAGGCAGTGGCGGTCTGTGATGTATGGAAGTAGATTTTGAAATTAAAAACATTTAAAACAATTTTAAAAAATTGAAACAAATTTAAAAAGTTGAAATCATTTTAAAAACTTAAAAAATACTGTTAAAAAGATTTTTGAACAAAAAAGATAAAAAAAATTTGAAAAGTTGAAAAATATTAAAACGTTGAAAAAAAATTTCAACAAATTTTAAAATGTTGAAATAATTTCAAAAATTTTAAAAAATTAAAAAGTTAAAATAATGAAATATTCAAAATTTAAAACAAAGTTAAAAAAAAATTCAAAAATAAAAATTAAAAAAATCATCTCAATCCCTCAAAAAACACATTCAACGCCGCTCCTGATCACATCAATAAGTGTATCGCAATGTTCCTACTTGTATGTTTGTTTGTTCATCGAACGCAAAGTGTGGGAATTTTTTTTCCTCTTCAAAAATGAGACAAATTTTTATTGCTGTGTGTACAATAATCCACTGATAGTGCACTATGATGATCAGCGATCCTATGCATGTATGTGTAAGATGTGTGACTGTATTTTTGCTGAGAACCGAAAGAGAAGTGAGGGAATGTGAGAGAATGTTTACTTGTTTATTTCCTATAAGAGGGTTACAAGAAGCATTGAGGACTACCTGAAGTAGTCGTGTGAATCGTAACATTTTTTTTTTGTTGGTTTGTTTTCTTCTTGAAGGGGAAGGGGATGTCGACGAGGGAGTGGTAATTCGAATAATTTTAACATAGTTTGACTATATTATTATATTAAATTGAAGTGAATGTCACTCATGCTATTTATTTAATTTCATTTATAAAGCCCTTTTGGCTTTTGTTTGAACTTGATTCTTATTTTGATGATGAATTTTGTTATGTCATTAAATGTGAATAGCAGTTAGGATTGTCATTGTTGGACTAGAGTGGATTTTGATGGATGTTTATTCATTTGTTTAGAAATTGAATGAAATTTTGATGTTTTTTTACTTTTTTGTGAGTAATACAGTTAACTTAAGCTCCATAAGGCACTGCATTTTCTATCTTATACTAGCTTTTACTAAGTTGGGAACGTGAGTACACCAAAAATGCATTTGATTAAGGAGTCACGAGACAAACGATGCTGTGAGGGAGCCATGACATACCCTCAGCCACTCTATTGTTAAGCAAAGCTTCCTATGTAAACCCAAACTTCATCGAACCTCCAAAAACATAAACCAAATCATCAAGACGACTCACTTCCTCAATCACCTTAGTGCCTCACCCTTTAACATTCTCATTCTAATTTCCCATCCAACAAAAAAGACTCAGCAATAAGAAACAAAGAAGAGAAATCAAAGAATTCTTTTAAGAAGAAACAAAAATTGTTTCACATGCAAAAGGACCTCGTTGAACTCACTAAAGAGATACAAGAATGAGAATGCAGAGCAAAAACAACGAAAGAAGGAAGAAGAAGGAATTAAAAATTGTGCATGCATACAAGAGAGTATCACAACACAAACACAATGAAGCATCGACAAGCATAAACAGCCACGCGTTTGTCAGAAATTTTCCCACACTCGATTTGTGTATGGATATGCATACGTACGTAGATCCAGTGTATATAGGAAGGGGTCGATTTACAATATCATGAGAACTTTTTTGTTCCTTCTTTCTCATTTTCTTGCTTTATTTATATTAAAATAGTCCCTTTCAGCTTTTTATTTTTATTTTTATTTTCCAAAACAAACCAGACGGGAAGAGACTCGCCGAAATTCCATCACACAGTGTTTAGTCTAACGACAGCACTCAGTGATATCAGAAGTGAGGAAAAAATTGAAAAATAAAAATTAAGGAAAATGACAAAAATTCCAAGATCAATTGACAATAATCAAAGGAAAGAAATGGATAATTTGGGAATTGCAAATAGCCGTAAAGTGAGCGCCAATTAGTATTTTTTTAAGCACAAGCACGAGCACACACAAAAATAAAATTGTGAAAGCAATAAAAATAAAAATAAAATTTTATTTTTCTTTTCTTTTTCTTTTCACATTTTTTTTTTTCGGGCATCATCCACAGAACAATTACAAGAGCCAAAAGCCAATATTGGAAAAGCGACGACGTGATCGAATAAATGGAAGTTTAGATGAACTGAAAAATCTTCTGCTTGTTATCAAGCAACGAGATGTGAGTAATTCTTATATGATATTCTGTCAATATTGATTATAATGACTTGTGTCAACAAATTCATGTTGCGAATATTTTATGCTGTACTTCTTCTACTTTTCAACTGCTGAGTGAAAAAATAAAAATGTGGATATAAGTTTGATGAACAATCGAAAGCATTCAGTGAAAATCAATTCAGTGTTTATGGAGTATTAAGATAAGGTTGTTGTGCATAATGGGATTAAATGAGGAATAATCAGTAAACAGAAAATGCTTACGATGAAGATAAATTATGTGAAAATTAAACATGAGTGCACAAATTTTTTCTGAAGGTCATGGAGTGTCTGGATAGTGTGTGAAAATAAAGAATTATTGATTATGTGTAGAATAAGTTGGGATAAGTGATTTTGATGAATATTTTTGGATTCAAACTTCGTAATTGTGTCAATTCCATCTTTATTGTGAAAGATGTGAGAATAGTGTGTGTCTTAATGCAGCTGAGATTCACATTTCTAGTTTGTCTTTTAAACCAGCTCATAAGTGTGTCTTAGGAGCTAAGTTAATCCAGTGAAGTGTCGTATGATAGTAAAAAGCCTGGAAGGTCAAGCTTTTAGTAGAACAATTTGCCAATGAGCACATTTAACCTCAGTGTATTAATGGAATAGGCAACTAGCTTAATCTTTTGATAAGACTTGGGTTCAATTCCCACTAATCACACTATAACTACATGAACTACTTCAATAAAGTCGTATTCGAGCTCTGCTCACGACCTTACCCCCAAAACTAAAGCAAAATGAGTTCATCGACTTACAAAACTCTCCTAAATGACAAACAGCACGGCTCTTTTTCCCCAAATTATTTTCAAATCCCAGCACAAAAGAAAAAATATTTGACTTTATATGAAAAATGATTTCAATATCCATTGTTTGAAATTTTTGGAATGAATTATTGGATGTCATTAATATTTCAAACGTGAATTGACATGAAAAATTACTCAAATTATTTCTAAGAAAGAGAAAAATAAGGAAAATAAATCCTGGAAGATGAAAATTTTCATCTTCTGATAACAACTGTGACCTTATTCCATAACATCTTTCTACTATGATAATATTTTATCAATATTCTGTGATGCTAAAGGCATTTACTTGATTATGATAAGCTTGATTATTACTCATTTAGTAAATAGCAAATTTTGAATATTTTCTTGTGATTCAATAATTTAATAAATTGCCAAAAAATTATCTCATAGCCTAGAAGGAACTAAATGTAATTTTCATAATCTTGGAGAAATTGGTAAATTAATGGCGTAAATGTTTTAATTTTGTTACGGCTGAGTGGGCTTATTTCGAGAATATTGCTTTGAAAACTTAATAACTATGATCGTTAAGAAATTTCACGGGTAATTGAGCTTATTTGGATATAGACTGTGATGTTTTGGATGGAAAATTGTGGGATATGGTGAATGGAGATTTGGAATTTGGGGAGAATTTCTTAGAGATTGGAAATGGGTACTCAAGTATTCGAGAAGTATTGCTTATAAGCGTCTTTAAAGGTTCAGACGTGACTCATGGCAACGAAAAGGTAGAAACTGTGACGTGATGCTATTTTGAACTGACGTTACTATTATTATTAGGTATTATGCTAAATTAAACTTACTTATATTAGTGTGGTGAATGATTTGTGGCATTTTTGCTGTGCATGGTGTCTATTAAATCCATGTGCTGTTTAAAAACTATGAATTTGACATAGTTTGATACCCCTTGAGTCCAAACACTTCGAACACATTGAAGAATTGTCGAGAAGAAGACACACATTGGTTACCCAAATAACCCTAGAATCCATCAACCTGTTTTAATTTTTATTATTGCACTCCGAAACCATCGCTATACCAATTCACACTTTAACCCCAGCATATCAGCCAAAAATCCAGTCAATCAACATGTTTACATAACAAATTTCTAATCCACAATTCTAAGAATTTTTAAAACACGAACAATTCACAAATAAACAGCAACAAACAATCCTCATCCCTCAAATACACTTGAAATACAAACAGACACAATATTTTTCTGACAGAACTGTCATATCCTCCGTACGTAAACATTTATTATGCCAGATAAACCATTAAATAAAAAAAAAGTACACACAATAGACTATCAAGCACAAATCCCTCGTAGATGCCATAAAATGCTGAGCTATTAAAAAGTCATGCGGATTGAAAGTTTCTTACTTCCTTCTTCGAATTATATTTCCACTTTTTTGTTTCCTGTGCAGGAAAAACTAATAAAAAAAGTTCTGCTATGGTTTTTACCCATAAATTTTACGCATACAATGGAAGCTCTGCCATACACAGTGACATGAGCATGGGAACAAAGAGATATCATAAAGTCCAACTTTTGCCACAATTAAGCAAAATAAAATTTATTGACGGCAATTTTTTCCGCGACATGAATTCTTAAATTTAATAAGCACCAAAAGCAAAGTCTTTATTGTCGATGGGCCATAAAAATGAGAAGAAAGAGAACGTTTCTTTTGGTCTGGGGATAGGAATATTGAGGATAAATGTGGATAGATGTCGATAAGAGAAAAAAGTTTGTAGTTTAACTAGATTGAATTGCTGAACATTTCTAATTAGACTTAATATCCACTTTAAGCCATTCTCCATCACATTGAGTGCCACATCCAAGCTTCAGATTCTGAATGCAAGTCTCGAGTACCAGGTTCAAGTCCCGGATACCTTGTATAAGTACTGGGAATCAGAATTAAGTTCTGATGACTAAACTCAAGAGTAAGATTTACTAATCTAGCTTCATGTACTTGATTCAAAATCCGACTACTCTTTTGAAGCACTAAGTCTCATGTCCAAGGTTCAAATCAAGTTTTAAAGGAACCATAACCTAAGACATGTAAAATGTTTGACATTATACCATAGTAAATAGAAGAGTGTGCCCATCCCTTGCTCCAAATCACCAAAATTCTCATCCAACTCCAATTCACTCATTCCATCTCCATACTCATTTAGAGATTCAAAATAATAAATTATGAAGGCGGATTTCCCCAGAATAATACACAAAGTATAACTGTAGCACAGCACATCGATAAATGATTTGCAAACAGTAAAAATAAGAAAAGTCATTAAATGAATAAGAACGAATAGAGAGGAAAAGGAACAGAAAAATAAGATATTTTAGCTCTTCTCATTCGTCTTTCCGTGCATCACTGTGAGAATATTAAAAAGGAGGAAATGAGACGTGGAGAATGAAAAAAAGAAACAAGGAAACAAAGGAAGTGAAGAGGAAGCAGAATGAGAACAACGATGATGAAAGGAAAAAAAGAAAAAAATATAAATTTTTGAGGTTGTCAGAATTTTTTTTTCGAGTATGTTTATGGGAAATGTTTCTTTTTGTTCTGAATGACTGATCTATAGGCTTATCGTGTTGCTTCATCCTTTATGATTCTTTAACTTTTCCTTTCCGTTGTCTATTTTTCTACAAAGTCACTATGACAATGTTCTTCTTGTTCCTTAATATTGTTAAATTAATCTTTTGATTGTGATTAATTAAAATGGTGGGGATGATAAGGGACATAAGACATAAATTTTTTATTGTTATAATTTTCTAAAAGGAAACACTAAAGAGGGTCGTGAAAGTGAATTTATAGCTTGAAATTAAAATAACCATATTGTTTTAAACATTCTATTTGTGCTTGAAATTGTGAAAGATTTATTTGAATTTTAAGGAAATTTTTAAGCATAAGTTGGTAATTAATGGGCGATGGTGGGGTTGAGATTGAGGTTAAATGCTGTTTTGTTTGAAGCTTATTGACAATTTTGGTAGAAAAGACTCCTAAAATAAATTATTAGACTCATAACTAGACTAAAGGCTATTTATTGGTATTGGTACAAGAGTGTGGAACTGAAGAATTAAAATTTGATCATTTTTGATCATTTTTGATCATTTCATCAGTACGACACCCTTGCCTAAGAGTCAACCCTAAGAAGTCTTCAAAGCGTCAATCAACGGATCAGAGTCTCTACTAGTCATTTAAGATCTCAATTAAAGCTAAAATATCATTTACCAAAACCAAAAGTCTCAATTAATCCTAGAGAGTAAGTTTCGACTCTGAAAAGCAGCTATCGACTCTAAAGAATATCTTTTAATTCTAAAGAGAAGCGATTGACCTTAAAGAATAGCAATCGACTCTAAAAAGTGGCTATTGACTATTTTGAGTAGCTTTCCATCTTAAAGAAATGCGTTCGACCTTAAAGAGTAGCTATAGAATCTAAAAAGTATCTATCAACCCTTAAAAGTCGTTGTCGACTCTAAATAAAAGCTTTTGACCCCAAAGAGTAGCTATCAACCTTAAAGAATCTATTTAGATAAAAAATTATTGCTTGAAATTCTGATAAAACCACAATTTCTCCACTAAAGACACTTCCATTCAAACAACATCACCCCCTCCTCCACCAATCAAACCACAATAAAACCATCCACAACAACCCAATTTTTACTACAATCATCGTCGTAAAACACAAGCAATTAAGAAATGACTGACACATTTTCCATTAAACTGAATGCTAATTACCACAAAAAAAAATATTATTTCCATTATTTATTCAATTAAAAATAAACAAAAGAAGATTTTTCCCGCCAAGCATAAATTTTCATTCAGCATAGATGATGACTATCATCATTATTCCTCATATTTCATCGTTTTAAAATTAAAATGAATAGCAGCATAAGATTATAGCATGAATTATTAATGTCAAGAAAAAAAAAGCAAAAAGAATTTAATCGAAAAATATCTTTACAGCCACTTCGCTATGCACGATTAGAGAAAGCCGACATTCTCGAGATGGTTGTGAAATATTTGAAAGATTTAAAGAAGCGTCGTCAAGCCATGATTGCCGCAATGGAACCAACTTTATTTCGTAGCTTTAAAATGGGATATCTTGATTGTACGAGAGCCACAATTGACTTTATAAATGAAATTGAAACGCCTACGGACAGGAAGAAGCAAATAATAGATCACATTACATCAGAATGCATGTCCTCGCTCAAGAATCAATGTCCACCGACAAATTTCAATCAACATCATGATATTGTATTTTCCAACGTCAATCCACCGGAGCATTTTATGCCATTTCCATTGTTATCGTCAGCACCAGCATCATTCGATAGTAATCATGACATGGAATGGATTTCACTCGAAGAACGCTTGGGCTTCTCGCCTATAGGTAAATCAAATTTCATTTTACCTGATGTTAAACCATTGCCCGACATCATATCCGCATCATCGAATGTAAAAGATATCAAATCGTCGCCAATGGTGTCATCGACATTGCTTAAAATTGTCGAACAACCGGAACGTCAAAGTGCTTTTAACATTGTCATCAATAAGAGTAACCATAATAATAGTTCAAATACAATAGATACAAGCCTTGAATCGCAATCGACGTCAGGCACATCTGTGACATGCAACGATGATATGCCACAACAATCTATTTTCATAAGTGACATCAACACAAGTGACGATGATGATGAGGATGAAGAAAATGTCGGAAAATTAATTATCGATGACCACAATAATAATCAAACAGCATGGAGACCATGGCTTTAATGAGATTATTGGATACTAATTAATTTTGTATACTTGAAAGAGCTTTAAAATTTTGAATTTTTAAGTTTTCCTATTGACTCTGTTTTTGGTTTCTTTTCCTATTTTCAATTGCAATGAAATTTAGAATTTTAAGATAGACGAAAGAAAATAAGTTTAAAAATTTGTTTGGTTAAATGAAATTATTATTTTTTGATATTAGAGATATTAAAATTGTTTTAATAATTAAAGAAGGTTCAAGATTTTTTTGCATCTAATTCTAATTATACAACTTTGTAAGAAATGACATAATAGTCCCGAATAGCATAGTTCAGTTAATTAAGATTAAAAATTTGACTTGAATTGGACCACTCCCGATCAGCACACATTGAAATGATTGCCACCCTGTGGCCGGGTTAATAGGATATTAGAACCAAACCCTGGTACTGGTCACTGGATGGTCACGTTGGTTCTAATTATACTATCAACTGGGTTGCCGGATGGCAAACATTTAAGTAGATTTCAATGTGTGCAGATCGGGCGCATTTCTGATTGATTAACCGACTTGGGCTATTCGGGAGTTTGAAGTCATATGATGGAAAATCTGCCAGTGCAAGTGTAATATTGAACTTGTGGATAAGCAATTGATAGAAACCAATGCAAATTCTGCTTTTAAAAGAAGCTAGTTCGATTCCCAATTGATTGTTCGACTCTTAATCACTAAGACTGTTCTTTATATGAACAAAGTTCGATTAAGCTAATTAAGAAGCGTAGTTGAGGAAAGAAATCTGATTTGATGTCTAATTGAATTATTAACTCTGATTCTGATTCAATTGCCTTCAACTTTGTAAATCGAGTATCAGAAATGAACAAATTCTTACAAAGATGAAAAATCTATCGATTTTCAAACTCTATTGATTAACATAAAGAAATCCTTCATCACCTCTAAATCCACAACCTCCAGCCATTCAATTTAGTTCATCAACCTCTTCAAAATATATTTTTCATCCTTTTCTGCTTTCACTCAAATTAAGCTATTCATAAGAAGAAAAAAAATTATTCATCATCATTGTGAGAAAGCAATCTCAACAAGAAATGAATACAGAAGCGAAAAAAATCTTGAGCAAAAAACTTTTTATAAGCATGATTAATTTATAGAATTAAGGATTCCTTTAGAAATTCTGTGATTAAAAAGAAAATAATTAAAAAACTCAATAAAAAGTTTCTTTTTCAAAAAATAACAAAAAAATCAGCAGTTTTTGCTACAAATAATTTTAAATTTGGAATTTTTCATTTAAAAAAAACAGGAAGATGAAGACGGCGAAAGTTTGTTGCCAAAGAATTTCCTTGTGCAAGTCTTTGATGAATCAAGATGATAAAGAAAAAAAAAACTTTAAAATTGATGAAAGCGAATAAGAAGAAACAATTTTTCATTAATCTTGGAATTTTTCCAAAAGAAAGAGTTTTTCCATCTTCGCTTATTGAATGACAGACAATCTTGAAGTCACATCAATCATATAAAGGTAGTATTACGTACTCAACCCTTTTTATTTATTTTTAAAATGTCTCAAAAGTTTATTTTTGCGGATATTAAAAAGTTTTCAATAAATTTTGAATTTTTGTGGTGGTTTTGAAGGTTCTGTTTAATATAAAAATACGATTCTTTCAAGGTTTGAGAACTTTGGTCATTAATTTTTAGTAGTTTACTATCTCAACTCGGAGGTAAGATATTTTATTCAATTTTATAGATCCTCCCAAGGCGTATACACTCGGGATTTTTGGGATTAATCCCAAAAAATCCCAGAAAATCCCAAAAATCCCAAAAAATCCCGAAAAATCCCAAAAATCCCAAAAAAATCCCAAGTTTCCTACAAAAATCCCAAAAATCCCAAAAATCCCAAAAAATCCCAAAAAATCCCAGAAAATCCCAGCAGAAATATATCATAAACAACATTCTAATCAAAAAATAAGTTGTTAATTAAAGGAAAATTTGAAATATTTTGTTCGCGGATTATGAAAATAAACGTTTTTGCGTTGCACTTGTACAGAAATTGAATTAAAATTCCTCATTTTTCTACTAAATGGTACTTAATAAGTGCTTTTAAGGTATATTAAGCATGCACAATGATAAAATTTTAATTTGTTAATAATTATTAAGTTAATTTTTGGATAAAATTTCAGAATTCAACATTCTGTACAAGTACAACGCTTACAAAAAGTCAAATATTTTCTTAATTAAAGCATGTAGAAGAAACCAATATCAACGCAACGATACAGTTTACCATTTTACATAAGTGTTTTGTGTCCTTGATAGCTTAAAATCTTACAAAAAAGAATTGGAAAAATCTTAAAATACTATCCTAATTACAAAAAAAAATTGCCAAAAAAGCATGAAATTTTCAACTTTTGTATTTTTATCTATGCTGGTCGCAGTTCTGTATGCATTTTGATCCACTCAAATATCTATAACTTTATTCAGAATCAATATTTTGCAATCCGTTTTCGGTTATTGCTAGATTAAATCAGTACCTTTAAAATGGTGTATAAAATTTGTATGAAACTTATACTTCTTATGGAAAAGTTTTTAATGTGACCGACGCAAGCTGAAATTTAACAAAATAGCGAAAATGAAAATTTTTTGATAGGTAACCATATAAAAGTAATCGGCCTGTTTCACATTCATTTCTGTATATGTACTTTAAACTTTTGATTTTCGGTAAGAAGTATTAATCATTCAATTTTCTAGCCAAATCGAGTAGATTAACTTCGATTTTTGTTATAATTCTCAAACTAATGAAGATATAAAAATTCTAAGTACATGTTGATTTAAGGAGAAAAGTACTCTAACTAGATCACACATTAGATCTCTTAATAACCTTGAGCGTCTGGAGAAATTTCCACAAAACTGAAGTAGATAATCCGAAATCGAGGATAATATACTTTAGTGAAACAGGCCGAATGTGTTTTGTCTCAGATGTGTTTTAATATGAAATATCAATGTCTACTAGGGTCATACCTTAAAAGCTACCTTTTACCTGAGCAAGATATATAGATGTGCTCATACAAAAATATCGCAGTTTTTAAACGTCAAAAATTTGAATTTTCTAAAAACACTAACACTATAAAAGAAAATTTTCAATTTTTGTTTTGCAAAATTTTCAACTTTCTGTTAAGTTTTGTTGATACAGGAGTATTGCAAATGCTTTGCTATAATTTAAAGTAACTGACTTAAGTCAAATGTTGTTGCATCTGTCGATATTTAAATGAAAACTTGAAAATAGAAAATTTTAAAAATTTTTGTTTGTATAAGTACACAAAAAATAGTATGGTCGAGTATGGTCAAGTATACTCTGTATGAGCCCATCTATATATCTTGTACCTGAGATAGCAAAAAGTTTATGAAATGTAAATTTTTGAGTTAAAATAGTCATAACTATCATAAATCATCATAAAAAACTACAAATCAATACTTAAATTTGTTTCTAAGTGATATTTCTAGAAATGACGTTTTTGAAATTTTTCTTCGTTTTGGGTCGGTCACAAACCAGGCTTATTTTCATGACTAAGATCAAACTTAACTATCAAGTTTTATACATCATTTGAAAGGTACTGATTTAAGCTATAATAAAATAAAAACTGAATTAAAAAATATTTATTTTTTTGTAAGAGTACTGGTGGTTTGAGTGAAGAAAAAAACATACAAGTCGTCAGATATCAAAAGTACCCTATATCTCGACCAATTTTGACTTTTTTGAAAAAAATTCTTCAAAGTTCATCTTTAAATAACGTTTAAAATCACAATAAATTTATTTTGCACCTGATTAAGCCAAAGTTGAATACAGTTTTGGATTTAAAAGTCAAGAGCTACACGGTGATATATGGTTTTTAGGATAGAAGTTGGGCATTTACGATGGTTGCGGCACGTTTAAAGATATTTTTCCTTGGATTTTCATACATTTGCTAGCATAAGTGTATCTTTATAATACATCATCATAAAGCTCTTATTTGATACTTTTGAAGAATTCAAAACTTTTTTTTGATATCTTTATCTACTGAAGAGATTTTTCAGTTTTAATGAAAAAAATCAAAATTTTCACTTGTTTAACTTCAAACAGCCACATAATTACAAAAAAATTTAAATTTTGACCCATAATGCAAGTACGTGAATTAGGCATGGTAATCGAACGTATTAATATGAGTTTACTTACTGAAGATTCGCAAAACGCAATCAACATACGAGATGATATTGATTCTGAATTTCTTTTGAAAGATTATTTAGAAGATAAGAATGTTACATTCAAGACATCAAATATTGGCGTTGATCAAGAAATTGATATAGATGTTCATCAATTCCCAAATGGCTTAATAATAACAAATATAAATTTTTGAAGGAATAATTCCAAAGCAAATTCTTAATTAATAGGAACTTATCAAGGCAAACAAATCATGATTACTAAAAACACCGATACAACCAGACGATATATAGAAAAAAGATGTATAAATTTGACAAGTATCAGAAAAGGAACTGATTTGGGAAGAAAAGGAAATAGGACGTGGTGATCATAGTATTATACATGAAAATGGAATATTGGGAACAGAAAGAGTTTTAAATATGAATTACTCTAACAAAAAGGCAAAAAAGGATAAAAAAATTTTATGAGATTTTGTAACAATTTACAGTTTAAGAGCTAAAGGTTGACAGCTTATTATGTTGTTAATGAACAAATTGTGGAACTACACAAAAATGTGTTTTACAGCGTTAGCAGTTATTCTGTTACACAAGTGAACCAGAACAAGATTTACCAACAGAATATGTAAAAACTATTAATTTATATTGATGATGAATAAGTTTTTATACCATGAAATAACTCTCTTAAAAATTTTAGAGCAAATTTTCAAGATTTTTACTTCCATAAAAGGAATTAAATTTTTTAAAATATTAAAAATCCCAAAAATCCCAGAAAAATCCCAAAAATCCCAGAAAAATCCCAAAAATCCCAGGTTTTCTACAAAAATCCCAAAAATCCCGAAAAATCCCAAAAAATCCCAACTTTTTTTTCGAGTGTATACGCCTTGGATCCTCCAAAAAAGCTAGCATTCTTAAGAATACGAAAATGTTATCAGGAAAAAAACTTAATTAAAGAAATGCTTACTTTCGTAATTAAGTTTCGTACAAGAAGTCTCGAATATTATTACAATAATTGAACATGAATATTTTATTGGATGAATATTGAAAGTTGACACTAAGAAGT